GAAGGGGGGGGGGGGGGGCGTACTCATTTGTTGCTTGCCGTAGTCATTTGACCATTGACCACGCGTCCCTTTCGAGACGGAGCACCGTTCCTACCCCTACTAGAGACACCACCAACATTTGGGAGCTCTTTACGTTTCTGCCACAAACTCCATAAAAATTTCTTGCACATCTTATCCCCGTCCTCTAGGGCCTCTTGTGCCCACCATCTATCCCCAATTATCGCGATCGTTTTTTCGCTGTTGTCTAATTTACCAAACTTGTCCATGTCAAACCCTCTCTGTCTCATTTCCTCCTCGAGATCCTCTCTTTCCTTCCTGTACAACTCACACTCCCCAACTATGTGGGGTCTACTCTCCTCCGATTTGCCACATGGACATGTGTGTCTAGGTTACCTAAAGGGGGGGGGGGTTCTCTTGTTCCATCACGATTTCTCACTGGCAATAATTGGTTTGTTTGTGCTTCACTAGGTGGAAGCGGATTCCCTCCGGTTGCAGATCGCCGCGCACCCCAACCCGGAGCTCCGCACAAAGTTGGAAGAAGCAGGCGTTCAGGTACTGTTCTCACCAGCTTTGTTGCTGGAAAATTCTTACGTCTTTTTTTTTTGGGAGCCTGAAAGATTAGTGTGAATACGAGGATGTTCGAGCAGGCACCTCTGTGTTTGCAAGTGCTTGCTACCTTGTTTTCGATCTAGAGAGGACCTTCCTGTATTTTTTTAGAGGAGTGATATGTCTTTTCCTCCTTGCGGTAGGATTGACATATGTGGCATCGAGTTGTTTATTCTCCGTAGAGATGTCTGTCGAGGTTGACGAAGGATCTCCATTGTGGTGTTGGGCGATGTTGGTACCATGAACGAGCAAGTCCATTTCATACCTGTGTGGTTTATTGCCTGAGATGTTTGGTCTTGGGCATGAAAAATTTCGTCCAGGACTTGGAGGGCGAAGACAGGATTGCACCGGGTTACAACGCAGGCCCTGGCAGGGAAGGAGGAGACTCTCCGGGTGAGACACGGTACTTGTAGCTCACTTAACTTCCGTCTTTTTCTGCTTAGGTCCAACTTTGAAGGTCCAGAGTCTTACTCACGACCCATTTTGAATAACGTCGAAAGGCATCGGTTCTTGACGTGACCTAGGAGTTGGCCTTCCAGCAAGAGATGGAATCCGGCAACCGCGCACCCAATGAAACGGACAGCTGCAAAGCGTGGTTCTGTCCACGTTCTACCTATAGTTGCTCGACCTGAGTCGGCCCTCACACTGCAACGGATTTCCACGTGTCTAACAGCTAGCCCGAACCAGCTTCCGGTGGACGAGCGACCTATCGTTGCGCGCGAGCACGGCCAAGGACGTGCCGGTGCTAGCCCGGACGAGCGATATGGTGGTGGTAGTGGGTACGGCGGCACGGATGCCTTGCAGGGCTCGCCACCGAAGGCGCCACCGCGGATTCTCCACTCGGGTGAAGGGCGCAGGGCGCATGGATCACGTGAGGAAACAAGCGCACGTGTGGCCTTTGTGAGAGGGAGCTTTGCGTTCTTTCTTTCCACCCCGTGTCGTTTTCACCCCTATCATGTCCCGACTTGGTTGTGTGTTTCCAAGTGGGACTGATGTCCGCCTTGAGCAAACCATTCAGGTGAGAATTGCGAAGATCGAAGTCGCTTGTGTCGTCCAGCAGAGAAACTGATTTCCTGGGTGCATCTCTCTGTGTGTTGGCATGGGCCTTGCTTGGTCCCCGGTGCTGGAGTTCCATTTTCGTCAACTAGCTGAAAACGATGCCCATCCTTGCTGGCGATGGCCCAGCCCACCCAGAGAACGAGGGCTGGGAGGTCAGAGATGGCGAAGATGCAGAGGAAGGAAGGTACCCTCCTGGAGCACACCCCTTGGAGGGGGTACCTGATCTTGATCTTGAGGATCTGGCGGAACCGGAGCCCTTGAGCGCCAAGGTGGATCTCTCGGAAGTGAGTGATCTCCTTGCTTGTGGACCAAATTTGGTACAAGGCGGTCCTTGGGGTTGGGGTTTTTGGCTGCACCGTTGTCCCAACGCGCTCGCCGTAGCGAGCTGACATGCTGGTCACAAGTTGATTTAATGCATGGTGCTGGGCGTGGTCTGAGTAGTCGTTGCTACGAGACACGAGGTAAACAAGGTGTTCTGTCTCTTTTCTCTCGTGGCAGGTCCAAGGACTGAATAACCTCTTGGGAGACTATCTGACGCGATGTCTGTACAGCAAGACGTGGTCTCTTCGGGAGGCTGCAGTCTTGAAGGTATGTACTGCGCTTTTAGTCTTGAGTTCTGCTGACCCGTTGGCCGCCCCCGTTCGACATGTGAATAATCGAAAACCGTCAAGTTGTTACTGCAGGTATATATTTCGGCATTTTCTGTATTGCGCTCTAGGAAGGAGAATTGCCGTTGGCACTATGCATCACCCCAGATGACATCCAATATTTGCTTTGGACTTGTTAAACGGGACTGAGTGACTGCATATGCTCTTCTGTGCCCAGGATGAAAGGAAGCGTGTTGCTTTGTTCAACAGACGTTGCACACCCCTAAAGCCCCAAGATTACTACCTCCGCTGCCCCATGCTGAAGAGTACCGCCTTATCGCACTGGCCCCAAGGTTCAGAGTGATTGCTCGCAGTGGTGCAAGCGTGTTGTGTCAGGCGTGGCCCTCATGACCATGATTGGATTGTGACTTTCCCCCCGCTTTTATCTTCCGTGTCCACTGTCGTCGAGCAGATAAAGCTTATCCTGCCTGCTCTTGAAGAAGACCCGGGTATCAACTCCGCTCTGACTGAGATATGTCAGATCCTTCGTGTGGGGTTTGAGGACAAAATTGCGCAGGTGAAAGTGGATCTCCACACCTTCTGCTTAGTATATGATCGCCAACACCTGCGGTCTGGATGCCGAAAATCGCTGCCGCGGTCGGCAACTTCCGCAATTCCTCCAAAAGTTCCTGAAATGCAAAAATGCAGACGAGTTCAACTACTGTCGTCAACGCACGTGCACGCTTGTTGATTTGAAAGCAGGCAGCCCGGACTACAGCAATACCTCTTTCCTCTTTTGAGCCCCCTCTCTGTTGCTGTTGCATACACCGAAACCTCGAACTGTTCAAGGTATTCCTCACTACTCTGGACCTTCTGGAGGCAGTCCTGGTATCAATAGGGGCCTGCAAGGAAGCGCGGCACAACCATGTCGTGGCCGCGCTGGAACCAACCGTCGCTACGCTCCTTAAGAAGCAAGGGGATGGGCAAGCGCGCCTTCGAGACGGGGCGATGAATGGCCTCGTAGCTGTGGCCCGCTGCCGCACGGCTGGACCGGTGTTCGTGAGGTACGTAGTTATAGTAGTATTTTCCTTTTGGCTGTCTCCGGCGGTCGTTTTTGTCAGAGGTAGGTAGGTCACGAAGTTGGTGGCGACCAAAGTTTTTGTTTTGATACACTTGAATTCACCGAAAACAACGCGAACACATTTATGTACACTTGCAAGGTGCAATCCAAGCGTCAGTCCAAGCATTAATATTAGGATTTCTGTCTTGCAGCCCAGTTGAGATGCACGTCGTACAGTATACAAAGTATGCGAACCTCGTAGTGCAGTTGTCTACAAATTAAAGTATACCAGTAATAGCTAATTCTTCTTCGTGACACCTTTTTTTCCCTCAGCCATGTAGCCCTCAAGCCGCTGGTGAAGAAACAACTGTCAGCATGGAGACCAATCACGGCTAGACTGGTTCTATTGAGGAAGCTGGTCAGCGAGTTTGGTCTCGAGGGCGGCGGCTTGACGGCTGACGGTATCATGAGCTTCATTCAGGTCAGTGGGGACAAGACACGGTTGCTCTCTCGGGTGCGTCACACGACCGACTGGGTAGCGGTGCTGTTCGTTCATCGAGACCGACCGCTGCAATTACATTCCACTCGATTCCAGGTGTGGTAGATTCTCCCGTTGAGCACTTGTATCCGCCTTAACTTGCTTCCTTCTGTACCAACTCTCACCAATGGACTACTATGTTTTTGTTGCCCATCGATGCCGTGCATGGGTGCGAATAGTCTTGCAACGGGTTCGCGCACAGCAACGGCGACGTGCGAGACGCAGCGAGAGAATTGACGGTGGCGCTACACGGCCTCGTTGGAGAAGAAGTGAGACACTTGCTTGCACTTATATTGTAACACTCGAGATCTTACGGTTTCGTTTCACACAGGGGTTGTTTTTTTTGTCTGTTGAAGAACTTGGGGATTGGGGGGTTGGTTTCGTTCTCCGGGTTGCTCCTAAAACCATGCTGGTCAGAAGCGACTGTCAGATGGGCCGTTGTGCTGCCGCTTCACTCTCGGCGGACGGCGGTAACGGGTATATGGGTAACCACGCGCTGCTGTTGGACCAATACCACCTTGACGCATCTTATGTGGGCGTGGTATCTCGCACACCGATGCTCCCGTATGCGTGCAGCGATCTTGTCGCGTGCACCAATGGGAAGGGTTTCCCACGGCATCCTTTTGCCAACACCCGTCGCCTCCTGTCCATGCCTACTGTAATTGCATACATCTGTTACAGATTGAACCGTACCTAACGGGGCTCAGACCGAAGCAGCTGGACGAGTATCACGAAGCGTTTCGGCATTCGGGTGGTAAGACAAGCCGCCGAGCTTCCAGCGCAACTCGGACCCGGACCACTCCTCGTCGAGGCGAACCCGGTAGGTTGGCTTTGTAGCGCCTCACATAGCTGTTGGTAGCAGTGTCGCACCTGCCCGTACCCTAGCATGGTCAGCTCATGTTCTTTCTATAAGATCGTGGCGATCCCAACGGCCACCTACGTGTATTAAATCAGCCGTTACACCCAATAGGATGAACAAATCATTTTGTTGCTCAGACAAAGGATCTTGTTCTTGTGTCTGTCTCCCTTTTCCACCCGGCTATGGTGCACACACCGCTTCAGAACGTTCCCCGCGCGAAACGGCCACCCCAAGGACTGCCCGCAGCGCTGGCGGCAGCAGTAGAGAGAAGACGGGAACCCGTCCTGACCAGAGCCGCAGCCCATTGCGGACAGAAAGAGGCGGTGCGCATGCATCCCCGGCGAAGTCGCCGACTCAAGGTGAGACGAGCAGGATTGAACCTTTTAACTGTCCTACATAGCTCAGAATGATGCGTGTTTGCTAAAAATCGCGATAGTTGTCTTCAGCCGCCACAATCAGTTGCAGGGGGGAGGCATCGGGTTCGAAATGGTCCATCACGGTGACCTTGGTGGTGTAAGTAATACCCCAGTGAAGTTGTATTTTTCGCTGACCGACCCTACGCAACAACAATTAACGTGAGTTCTTGTTAATGTTGTTCCTTTGGTGTTTGGGCTCGACCTCCGCCTCCGCGTCAGCTTTTACGGCTGAGGAGACCGACGTTGGGCAGACGAAGGAATCAGAGGAGATGGATGATGACGTGTCGTACACGTGTCAGTTCTGTGGAAAGTACGACCCTTCCTTCACCGACGAAAAGCTCGACATGCACTACTGGCAGAACTGCCCTCTTTTGATGAGCTGCGAAGAGTGCGGCCAGGTGCGTCCAAGAGACTGACCGTGGGTGTGTGTCCGGTGTTGCCAGGTCACGACAGCGTTGAGGAAGCTAATTGGAATAAGTATATTGCACCAGCACATTGTGTTGTGAGACCATTTTCCCACACTCGTGCGGTACTCACCACAGAGTTCGGGCTTCGCCATTCGTAGTTGTCGTTGCGGCAGCAGGGTTGAAGCCAGCAACCAAGGCCTCTTGATCGGGGTATGACTCCACCTGACGTACTGCTGTACCACCAGGTAGGCACCTACCTACCTTATCGGGTGAAAGGTGCCGCCGACTGCGCCACGCACGCTCCTTTGAAGCGGTCGGTTTCTAGAGACAGATGTATATGTGGTCCGGTCGTCATGTATGTGAACGTCCATGACTCACGTGAACAAGACAGCATCTGGTGCCGGAGTTAGGAGAGGGAAAGAAAGACGGATGTTCACAAACATCTGGATCGCCGAACGTACTTTATTTCAACATACTCGAGGCGGAGATTTGATTCCGTTACGCTCGAAACGAAAACTGTTTTGTTTTGAACATGGCTTGAAAGAGTCTTAGCGGCTTAGTGAACACGTGGAAGACACGAGATCTCACCTCACACCTATATTGCATGTTTTGCCACACGTCCCTCTGGCCAAGATTCTGAGCATGCAAAGCGCAAAATTCGAAGAGATTGTATCGTAGCGTTGAGCGAAAGCGACGCAGAACACGCACTACGTGCTGTTGATGCAAATAGTCAATCCGAATGGATCGCAGATCTTTTGCATCAGTAGCTCAATGGGCATTACGTTCAACTTTCATCACGCGCAATGAGCTCAGATTCGGCCACGGGAAGACGCTTTCCCGCGAAACTGACAGTTGAACAAAAAACGGGAAAGGCCGCCTGTCAACGCGAGAGAGCGGATGAAATGCTGTACTGTGAGCGGGCGAGGGAGTTTGGTGCTGACTGTTCTTGTTGTCGTTCTGCACCCTGCGAAAGGCTTTGGCTCACTCTTGTCGTGGTTGCTGATCCTCGTGAAATTCATGGGACCTTGGTAGGTGATCGAGATATCTTCCATACCAGAACACCTCTTGGAAGAGTGTCAGAACCGTGAGAACTACACGGAGTGCGAAATCAGCCATCTCGCTATCCGCATCGAGGACCTTGACAAGTGGCAACGCTCGAAGTCGTGCAAGCCTCCTGGGAAGGGTGAGTAGCTGAGCGCTTGGCATCTGTTGAAGAACTGGCGCCCCAATCAATCCACAATACCATTGCGTGTGCTTCGAATAGACACGAGGAACAAGACACAAGTACAGACTTTTGCACAAGTAAGACCGCTGTTGTTGTCGGAACCTCTCAAGAGTTGGTGGGCCAGTACCACTCGCAAATGAACTGACAACGATCAGCGCCAGCATATGTTCGCCCCTGTCGGTATTGAAGTCAACCCCTTTCCGATGCATGCCTCATGTTACAGGTGGACCAGGCAGCACTTGTCCGCTTTGCTTCGAAGATGTTGGGAGTGCTGACGACGAGGAGTATTGGCGTGCCCACCTCATTGATAGGTGCACCCGGAATCCCCGGCGAGTTTAGGCCGCAAAGCGACGCCTTGGTTGTAAGAGCAATTGGTAAAATTTGTTTCCTAGATTGCTGTGTGGGAAAGACCGGGAGTGCACAACCGGGCACAGCAGATCATGATGGAAATATCTGTGCAGGGCAAACTGCACTTTGTATGTAGTCTAGTAGGGCGTTTAAGTGTTGTGAGGTTTTGAAAAGCGTTTAAGTGGTACGATATATACGTACAAGTGGATTGATTGTGTTCTCTAGTTGTGGCAATGGACTTAGTTGTGGTGTGAAGTTTTTATCATTCTGATACATGTATTTTTTTGCAGAAGAAAGTGGTGTTATGCGTTTGGGGTGGAAGAAAGGTGGAACGGGTGTGCATAACGCTACGTCTGTCTCTGAGCAGAGCTATCACGGGTCGGTAGAAGCGGACATGAACATACACAGCTCCCTGCCGCAGGAACGGAGTCCAGTCAGCTGCACATCAGGGCAAATCTGAGCAAACGCACCACCGCAGATGACTGGTACGTGTGTAAAATCAGTACTTCGGAGCCTGTCCCGCTGCCTCCCTTTCCCAATCTCAAAAACCCCATAATTCAAACTCACGAGCGCCTATTGACGGACGGCTTCATGCGCGGTACAGTAGTACAAGTTGATCAATTACTTTTCGGTCAAGAACCCCTGTTGTTTATTTTCTCGCCACCACCACCACAAACCGTCGAGCGTCGCCTATTTTCTACATACATACATATGGTAAATCGTGACAAGGTACCCTGGAAGGTACCGAACGCTTTACTTTACCACGGCTTAGGTTCTGTGTTTTTTTGTGACATTCGGTCTCATGATCGAGTTGTTCTATGTGGCGGATACAGAGTAGTATTGGTCTACTGTCGCTTGGAGAAGCGAGCGCACCACACACACACGTCGCATCAATACCGGTTTTCTGTTTTGCCATGACAAGGAATACCGTCCGTTTTGACCGTACCTGAGATCCCCACAACAGCACGTGCAGATCTGAAAGACAAGGACAACTTTCCATGGTCACAGGCTCAATATTACTACTACAACATAGCGCGCCCGGAAGCTACAGCCGTATCCTCGCGCCCTCACAAACGCACTGACTGAATGACCGACACTCATTCATGCATATTCATCTCGTATTCCCACCGATCAGGCCCGCATCAGGCGCACAAATAGTATTTCACTACCCAATAGAGATCATAGCGATTGTTAATGCCAGCACATACCTGATGGACATCACCACAAGAGGAGCACAAATCGTTCCCCCCTCCCTCGACCGCCGACCCCCGACCCCCGACCGTACCAGTTGTACACACGCTTGCGCCGAGAATTTGGGAAACCCGTGTGGCAGTGTGGCATGCTGCGGAGCCCCTCGACTGCAAAAGTGAACGCACAACGCACACAAGAGCAGTGGAGGTGACCGAAGAGGGCCCTGCAGAGGGCACAACGGACGACGAGGGCAGGACATAGAGGAGCTCTTCTCTCAGTGCAAGAGGGACGGGGTTGGTGGTTCGCGGACGGTTGCAGTGGAAACATATTTTGTGCATCGTCTGCATCGAATCTCGGTCTCCAGTTGGAAGTGTAGTATTGTAGGAGTTCGTTGCAGTCCGCTCGTCCGCTGCCTCACTGCTGCTGTGTGGGATGTCAACGGCTTTATCGGAGAGCCTGTGGGAAAAGGTGGACGTTGTGCGGGATTCAGGACAGCATGGGGCTAAATCGTGCATCGGGATGGCAAATTTTCTCAGTGAAAGAGCTGCAATCGAGACGACATACGGGAATGTAAGAAGACTGCTGTATGATACGTAGTTCCTCCGCACTTTGATTTAGTACAACTATACTGCTGTAAAGTAGCATCGCGGTAAACAGTTCGCGGCTGTTTCGTTACAGTACTTCATGTGTAGAGTCGACAGGCGTGAGGATTTACCATCAAAACTCTCCTGCTGTTAACCAAATCCCTCCCGAACTCCTGTCAATTGCCGTTGTGAACCTGTGAAGCAAGTCTTCGAGTTGGGGCAAGTCTTCGAGTTGGAGAGAGACATGACAAGATGCCACGGGACTCGAACTGCTGTACACACAGCTACCGCCATAGCATGTTATCTGCTATCGTATCATAGCGTACACTCTGGACTATTTCGCCGTTGGTGCCCATGGGCTAAGTATATAGCTTCATGTCGTCCATCCTGCAAACGTTTCCATTAGGCGCTGATAAAAGCAGCGAAGAGGGCATCAAAAGGAGCTCGGCCAGGGGGGAACGCTTGGGGACAAGCCACTGCCACCGCACCGCCTGTGTGGGCACCGTCGCTGGTTCAGGAGGGATGGGCAGGCATTGTGGCTTCCATCAACAGCTGGGGCAAACAGCACGTCGGTTGGGCACGCTGTGTCGAGCAAAACATCGCAAAGGTGGTCAGGGATAGTAGGCCGAATTCGGGACCGTCTTGCAGAGATGGAGGAAGCAGAAAAAGCCACTTAAAATGTGAAAGGCGCGAAAATGACGCCTACGACCCTTGCTGTACATCTCTTGTTTAGATGATGAGAATACTGGTAGGTGTGTCCGCTCGTTACCATGGTTGGTTCGGGATCCTCTCCGTTGTACCCACTGCTGGCCCTTCGGGCGTCATTGAAGGACAAAGGGGTTAAACTCGTTTCTCATGAGCTGAATTAGGAGGGGCTACATCTTCGTCTATGCTGTTCCCGGAAATCAGAATGTAGGCCCAAGTGGCGGCTGTGTTAGAGAAGTAGAGAAGACACCGAGCCTGCAGCCATCCCTGTGAAACGGCATCATATTCTGTAATTTCTGGGTTACTACTACCCACGGCTGTGCGTCTACTCCTTCCCGTCCGCCCAGCGCGTGGCATGACGCTTCGTATGGTATACGTACGTTTCCGTCGCCCCTGTCTCCGCTGCAGACCTTGACTGAGTTCTCCAAGAAACACAAGGGTCATGTCGCACGCCTATGCACAGAAGCTCAGGATCTCGTTCGAGATCTTGAGGTGGTTGGCGGGGAGTACTACCGCGCGAAGGGAGCTTACGAGGAAGCGTGCATCCAAGCCAGCAGGTACGAAACCACGAGGACTCATTAGAGCGTGCGCATCTGTTTAGCTCGATTATCTGTGGCTGCTTGGTATAGAGGAACGCGAACACTCATAGTCGGTCCCTGTTTATTCTGTGGTTGCGCCGGCGGTGCTTGGTTGCAGATTACTGGATGAAAGGGACAGAGCTAGACAAGTGGCCGCGGAAGAGGCTGCTCATCCGCAACCTCCCGCATCACCGACAAAGACAGCGGAGGTGGGTGATCTTCTGCCGAGTGCCGAGGGTATGGACGCCTTACGTTTTGGCTTACGCTCTGGGCGAGTGTCGTAAAGGCAGTTTTGAGCTGCCGGCAACTTGTTTCGTGCGTTGGCGTCTATTTGCTTCTCCCTGCACTCCTTTCACCGCGATGTCCTTGGTCGCTTATTTACCCCAGGCGGCCGGTGGATCCATGCTTTCCTCAGTCTCCAAGATGCTTGGGGAAGGGATGGCGATAGCTGAGAAAATGCTGGAGAAAGTCGCAGCAGGAGAGCTCAGTCTAGTCGAATTGGAAGCGAAGGTGAGAACAAGCGTCGCGCAATTGACACGCATCACGTGCAGACTCCGTGCGGGCATCATCGGCAGCAACACTGTTGCACGTGCGGGAATAGGTGTATCGTAGGATGCCATGACGAACTCCAAGTATTTGCAACCGCTAAAAGGCTCCCCGCATCAAACAAACGTCCAATGTGGTTCTCGCGTCGCAGGTGCCGGAGCAACTACACGTCGTGGACGTCGCTGAAAGCGAGTATATCGCTTCGATTATGGCGCTCAATGGTTACAACACGGAATTTCAGCCCGAAATGGAGGGGAAACTCAAGCAGTTCCAGGTATAATATGTGTGTTGTTTATCCCGTCGTAGTATCCCACACAGGAGCGCCTGCTTCTTAATAGTGACCATCATTTATGTTCATCCGTGGAAGAGGTTCCTGGTGTACTGAGAGGTGCCGATGATGTTCCTTCTTGCCCGATGGTTTGCACTCTGCATATTACCGCCCCACCTGATTGCAGCTTTTGGAGGAATGCCGGATAGCTTACATCAAGGAGGTTCTGCTCCGCCTGGACCAAGCGAGTAAGGGGATGCTGACGTGCCTGATCGGCCCCGGAGGAACGCTGGAGGCCCTCAGCATTGCTCTCACGCGAATCGACCCGCTCTCAGACGCGGAGGCCCAGTTGTCTTACGTTCGGGAGAACGCTGGGATGCCCCCTCTATCGCCAATGGGCGAGTTTTCAGACACGTCTTCATCTATGGGAGATGAGAATAGAGAAGCTATGCCGGACAGGGGCAAGAGGGCCGTGCGTGCACCGGAAGAGGTAGCTCAAGCTCGAGAGGCGACAGGGTTAGCGGTCTTGAAACTCCCGGAGGATGGAGTAGAGAAGATGTTCCATGGAGCCCGGGACGAAGCGAACGAAGCCGTTCGGATGGTCCAAGAGATCTGCTGCTTCCTTGGCGAGCTTGTATCAGTCGAAGAGAACCATACACGGGAGGTGTTACGGCTGCTGGAAAGGTGAACTACTGCTGTAGTTGTTGCACCGACGGTGCTGCTCGAACATGCAGCGGTGGCTTGACTGGTATAAATGGAGTGCCTCCGCGTTAGCCGCACGGGGGTGGAACTCTATTTGTCAAATCTCCCAAATCGTACCTTTCCCTGATTGTCCTTTCCCTGATTGTTTGCAGGCAGGGCTACGGCAGTCGTGTGGGCGCGAGAGGCAGTATGTCCTTAATGGAGGACGTCATGGCTAACATGTCCAAGCCCAGTTCGTTGGCATGCGCGGGAGTCATTGCCGGGGAGGGGCAAACCCTGAAACAGGTGGGTTTTCCAACCTCAGCACTGCTGCCAGTATTTGTATCCATGCGATTTCATGGTGGTCGGCAAGGGGAGGCTATCTACATGAACCAACAGCAGTGCTTGCCTTTAACACCCATTTTGTTTTCCCTCGGGTTTGGACCGTCTTGGGCAGGGATGGGACTCATCGGCGGTTGGCAAGGCGCTCGTTTCTGCCGAAGCTCACACGGGCCTGGCGCATTCTCTTGCCGACAGTTCGTGCACGGCTGCTATCCAGGTGCGTATTGGCATGCCAGCAGTGTTTGTCGTCGTTGTCGTTCTTGTTGGTAGCGATCATCGGTGATACTTGGACGTGGGTACGCCTTGGATAGCGACGATGACGAACATGTACCTTGCACGCCTTGTCCTAGTATCCATAGTTGACGTGATTAGCCGTTGTGGGACCCGAATCAAGCGCTTTATTGGTGTCTAGGCCATGCGGGGGGCAACTAGAAGGACATTGGCATTCACTCGTTTTCCTGCAGGAGCATTCGCTGTGGTGCTTGGGAGTACCTCTGTGCCTGAATTCCTACCGCACCACATTCGCGATTTCTGTTGAACAGGCACACAACGAGGCGAAAGCATCCGTGAAACGAGCGATCAAGACATTTTCAGCAGCATCGAAGCAGCTCAGTACGAGCAAAAGCACTCACGCCAAGGCAGTGTCAAAGTACGTGGTTCCGGTTTGGCCACCGCGCATCGGAATCCTTGTTCTGTGTGCAGCTCAGATGTACGGAAGGCGAAGGTCCAGTGTTGATGCGGAACTGTAGTGGCAATCTAGATATACGACCTCTTGATCAGGTTGATGACTGCCATGACCTGAAGTAGCGGCGACATGCAGCACCTCATCACAACTCTTAACTCTCCGTCGTCTCTGGGTGGCAAGAGTCCCCACTACCCACTAGAGTCTCGAAGAGCCGACCCCTTTCCGTTGCGCGTTCTTGGCTTTCCAGATGCGACAAGCTCACCAGAGAGGTCCACGAGAAAGAAGAAAGCTTGGCCAAGGCTCGCGTCGATCTTACGGCTGAGCTACAAGCTTCCGGGGGCTCGTCTATCGGCCAGGAACAATCTCTGCCGCCTGACAACTCGACGGGAGCTCGGGGACATTCTAGCGGTACAACCCCGTCGCTGGACCTCTTTGGCGAGGATTCTTCGGCTAAGGGAATAGGGGGTGTCCGACGGGATGGCCCCTGGGTCCTGGAATCGCTTGGGCTACAGCAGGTGAGTGCCATGGAGGCTTCGTGTTGTGTTCTTGTTGCCTTGGCTGCTTTTTTTGTGCGAAGAAAACGTTGGCGAGAGATGAATCAGAACTATCGCGCCTGTACCCATGAAACCTGCTCGCTGATTTTTTTTTCGAAACTGAGACTTTTGGCTTTAAGAGATGACCACTTTCCTGATGTATCATGTATGTTGTGCTATGTCAGCACGCGGGTGGACGGGTGAAGGCGTTGGAAGTCAAGGTGACGGCGCTAATCGAGGAGAGGGATGCCGCCAAGCAGAATGTCCGGGATGCAATCCATGGCATGAAAACTGCGCTGGAGGAGCTCCAGCTGAAAGTCAAGGACACGACTATAGGGCTGCTCGCAGAAGACTCGAGCCGGCAAACGGGACTGAGCGAGGTTCGGAAATGTTGTTGTTGTGTCTCGTATTACAAGCACTTAGTAGGTTGAAGGCTAACGTAACCGCGTGGTGTGCATCGTACAGCCAACTCCGTTCTGCCCAACTGCTGTGTTTCTCTGTAGAATGAATGACGTGCGTGTCAACGACGGCTCCCTCTTGACGCAACGACGTGCCTTTCCTTTTGCGGTTGAGCTGCTCGCTTGTTGTTCTTTGCTAGATATCGTGGTATATGTACAGATAGCATTTGGGAAGACGTTCCTTCCTCTCCCTCCCTCCCGCTTTTTCTCTCGCAGCTTTTGCATGGCGTGCTCTCGGTGTATCTCGAAACCACCAAAGTCCTGGTCGCTGAGCAAACACGCGCGGATGAGGGAAAGCAAACACAGGCGATCGATGGTCAGAAGGACGTCCAAGAGTTGGTGGAGAGAAATGCTCATCGAGTACAAGTACCTGCCGGGCACGGTGTGGGCGAGGCAAGTGCTTGGTGTTTCTCAAGCAGAGCAGAGAGCAGCTGAGGTATTAGTTGCTGCCTTCTTGTACCATGAAGCGAACCCTATGCACGACGCACTACGATTACATGGCATCGACGAGTTTGTGTGCTGCTTGGTCGCAGGTGATGTTCATGGCGTATCACAGCGAAGTGCTTCAGAAGGAGCGGGACATGCTCCGGAAACACCGCCTTTCGTCACCGCGAAGCGCAGAAAGGCACGGGCTGGAGGGAGAAGAGAGCGGCAACAACGCCAGCGGAGTGAGGCGGGCAGGTGGGGGGTCACACAGGTTCACTGCTATGGCCGAGGCAGCACTGGCGCAGGTGAGAAGCTAAGAGATTCATCAGAGATTCAGACGAAACCATGTTCCTGTGCGGCTGAAGGCATCAGGAACATCTACAAGCCTTGGTTGTGTCTATGCGTTTTCCCCTCATGTATGCATACTCAATGCGATGTTTTTTCTCCCAATCACAACATCGGCCGTATCAGCTCGAGCTGATCAGGTTGGCATGTTCATCTCGAAGCCGGTTGCAGCTTGCTGGAGATGGCGTCAGCTTACGTCAGTCTGGCCAAGGCGATGTTAGCCTAGTCGATGTGACTCTTGGTCCAATGCACCGATGCACTATTTTTTAACGTATACCCTTGAAGGAGCAACCGATCGGGCACGGAAGGGATCGTGTCGGACTCTCTTTTGTTTCGAAAAACGAGTTTTCAAGACAACTTTGGAGGTCCCTAAGTAGTGTTCATTATTTGCAACGTATGGGTACCCCAGTGCCACGAGGAAAACCAAACATTTCGATCTTATCTGGTTGGGGAAAACGTGCCGCACACAGGCGCATGCCAAGCAACAGAGGCGGCAGATTATTGCCAGGCAGGAAGACACTGGTCGCGAGAACGAGGGAGCAGCGAGTGGCGTTGGTGGTTCAAATGCGGCCGCCCATGCATTTCCGGCATCTCTCACGGATGGAGAGGAGGGTCCCACGTCGCTGTCGCGACAACGTCCAGTGCTGAGGTGTGTTGATCAACGAAAGTTCTCCGGGCAAGGTGTAGACCCCAAACGTTGCGCTCAAGTCTTGCACGGTCTGCAGAGCCAAGATTACTCGCAAGCGTTTTGCACGCTGAGCACCCCGCGCACGATGTGTCATTCTTGTACGTTTTCCCAGCAGAGATCACCGTCGACATCGCCGAAAGATCAGGGCGCCCGAGAATAGGGAGAGTTGCTTCAGTGACTCTGAGGTGGTGGTGTGCGACGACAATGCTTCCAGGTAGGTGTGTTCCAGTGTCAAACAAGGCCGCTTCGTGCTCGTGCTGTTGGGATGTCACCAAACTGCGACCACGAGTCGAATCGAATGCGATGCATGTGCATCACGTCCCGAATTGTGGACCGTACACAACGCGCCAAAAGCTGAATCCGTACTCTTTGCTTTTTGGGTACTCCGTACGTTTTGGTCTGGTCGTGGTCTGGTCGTAAAGGCACGGCGGGTCTCTACATGGGAATCTTCGCCGGGGCTCTCGCCATGGCTCGCGGCACGGCTCCCGGCATGGCTCTAGGCACGGCTCTAGGCACGGAACCAAGTCGTACTCAAGGCACAGCAGCGCGATATCTTTGCGGGCACACTCTAAGAACGCGAATTCGCCCAAACAGGGACAGGAAACCAAGGTCGTCGGAGATGCACCGATTACGGTGTCAGTGAGCACGAGCGGTCTTGGCAGTCCCCGGGTCGGCACCGGTGACCGTGTGCTTTCATCCCCGCCCGTGGAGGATGCCGAACAGAGCGGTAGCGCTAGTGATGTGCCAGAGGCGAAGGCCGAAGGTGCTCCGGGATTGGGTGGTGGCAAGCTAGACCCTACAGAGGGAGAAGGCACCGACGTGCCGAACGACAGTAACTCGGCGATAGTATCAGGAGAAGGCGGAAGCGGAGGCACTCCGGCTCCCCCGTCACCGGTAGAAGCATCGGTCGACCCCACGGAAGCACCTCCCAGCGCCAAATCTGGCGCTGCGGGAGGCGTAATGGAGCCGGAAACAATCCATGGTCACGGGCAAAAAGCACCCGGAGTGACGGCTGCCATTGCGACTATAGCAGACCTTCACCCGACAGTCAAGGCGGAAAGTGAGACGGAGCCACCGCCGGGTGCCCCAGTGAAGGAAGCGAAGCTCGGTACTCTCAGCGCCGACGTGGCAAAAGCAGCGGGTCTCGCAGACCAGGGAATTCAGTCGGAGCGAGATGGCGTGGTGCTCACGGGTGGACTCGACCAAGTCGCGAGGAGCGAGCGGTCTCGCGTGGAAGTGGAGGTCTCACCTACCGAGGAAGCGGAAGATGTGGGTTCTGCGAAAGTGGAACAGAAAGTGGCTCCCACGGAAGAGTCAGCCCCTAGGTGTAGACAAGAACCAGGAAGAGTGGGTTCGCCCATTGATTTCTCTTCTCTTGTACACTCCAGAGACACCCGGAAAGAACAGGTGAAGCGACAAAACTAATTATCCTCTTTGTTATCACGTCGCAGGTTCGATGTCTCTGGACATTGCCATATTTACCATCACCATTTCTCAGTATAGGACGTTGGCTCGCCTTTGGTTGGTGGAATTGCAATTCTAGAGAGTTATTTCATGGATTTCCGCGAACACGCTACGCTTGCGTCCCTAATGTATCGTAGATGGCCGTGAAAGAAGAGTCGCCGAGGTCGGAACGTCGGCCCTCTCTGCGCCATCTCAAGAACCGGCTCCGTGAACAAGACGATTTTTCGTCGGGAGGCGAGGAGGTAAGGCAACCCAAGAAACTCTTACCTGTTTTTTAACAGGTATATGCATTGATGTTAATCATTTTTCTGGTTTGACACCAATCGAGGATTGGAACTCTCATGACCGGGGAAAAGGGTAAAGCAGGACCTTGGGAAGAAGGTACTGGCGGGTGGCGTGTGAGAGTATGAAAAGTCGCGGCTCACCGTTGCGCGTCTGATTAATGCTTGTTGGTTTTACTATCCTGGGAAAACAGTGCACAACAGGGCCAGGTGTCCCCATTTAGCTATTTATGTGGCGTATGTTTTGTGGCGTCGCTCTTTCAGTCTTTGCACGCATGTAGTTTGTTGTACAATATGCATACTAGAAGTCGACGACCTCGGTGCAAAATGTGTCTGGGGGCTAACGTGATGATTTTTTTGGCCAGCTAAACTAAGGGCCGAAAGATGCATTTTCGTGGAGTTTAGTTAAGGAAAAACCCAGGAAAAGAGTCGCACGGTGGTGCCCTTAAGAGGCCCCGCCTTTCCACGAACAACGTGTGGCCTATGGAAGAGTCGTATGTATCCCCATCGGTTGTCTTCCGAGTCAGGGTCAGTTGTCGTATTTTGGTGTGCGTCTACGGACAGTACGGCGCTTCCGAGGCACCTGCCGTCCGAAGTGTCATGGTGCTTCATGCTTCCGTAAGCTAAAGTCCATGTATCGGTGGCGTATAGCTTCGAGCGAACCAGCGTCCTTCCGCGCTTATCTGCGGTGTGCACCCGCGGTGCATCTCCTCGAGGCCTTCGCTGAATGGACGTCTCTGGTCATCACCCATGCTTGATATTCGCAGGAGGATGGAATGTCAAGTAGCGACGAAGAACAGATCGACTCCGGCGGTGGTGTGGCCGCGTTTTACCGTGAGTCGTCAACAACTGCCGGTATATCGGCCTCCACGGCTCAAGCATCAGACGAGTTGAACGTGTTGGACTCGTTCGACCTTCCCAAGGAAGATCTGCAAGAAAAGGTGAGTATCTATGAACATAGTCTGATGGAGTCTCGCAGGGGGCATTGTCAGCGTATCTCGTAGACCCCGGTTCAGCTTGGAAGCTCTCTTGTACCACTTGGAGACCGTGCGGAGTCTGGGTAAGCTTATTAATAGCAAGATCGCAAGGCAAGGGGGTTTCGAGGGGTGGTCCCACGCACAACGTGACGCATCACCACACCGGGAGTTGTATCAAGCATAAATGAGCAGATCTAACGGTATGGAGCCCGGGTTTCTCTTCTGCCTCGGCCGCCCCCCAGGTGATCGAAAGTTTCTCATGCGGCTTATATAGCGGGGGGCTGCCGCTACACGGGCGCCTCTATGTCACCGGGAAATACGCTCTTTTTTCAGGCTGGCGTAACACCAAGGTGAGAAATCCTCCATTAAACCTTTAGCACCGAAGAAGCATGACGGCGGGGAGAACCGCAATGACACAATATTTTTGACATGGCCCATACGTCACTGCACGCACAGTATGCCTGATATGCGATCCTTCGCGACTAACAGCATGTATCCAACGCCGCTCTTCACCTGGCACGGCAGGTGGTCGTACTGCTGTCAGGCGTGGTTGGGGTGGAGAAGACTTCTACTCTCCGCTTTGTGCCCAACGCCTTGACCCTCGTCAAGAGGTACGTCTGAGGTGTTTTGTACGCACTTGAATGCGAAATGAGAGCGATCTATATCGAAGCACAAATCGTGGAACGAGATTGGTATGTTCGTTTGTTGGCGTTGTGAATACGTTGAACGCTACACTCACATGCCCTGTACCAACACTTGCGTTGTTCGATTTTGCCGTGTGGTTGCGCTCGCTCGCTTGATGCGTTTTGGGTCCGTTCTCGTGAGCAGGGGCGGAGAAAAGGTCACTCTCGGGTCTTTCCTCTTCCGCGACGACTGCCACGCTCTCCTCTTGAGGTTGGTCAAGGTCTCTGGCTCCATCTCTCTGATGCACGGAGTGTCTCCTGGTACCCCGACCGGTGCGCTGCCTCTAGAGGGCAGTTCAGACGAGCTCCCTGAGAACTTACCTGAAGCTCCGGAACCCTCTGAAACCGCCCCTGGCACAGCGATATCCCGCGCTCTCGCTGTAGCAGGCCGCCCGGGCGATTCGAAGTTCGAAACCATGGTCGAAGCAGTTCTTCCCTGCACTACCGCCCAGGTATACGCTGATCCAGAGGCCACTCTCCATACCGCTTGAGCCCTGTCACACAGTATTCTAGTTTTGTTGTTTCCTGTGTGTCTGACAAGATTGCTTATTTTTCAGTGTTAGCGCGATGCATGTCATTTCCCGCGCATCCATGGACCAATTGGATGTGAGCGGCAGCCAAACCCCTAACCTCGCTGTGCTTGTGTCACTGTCTTTTGTCTCTTGTCAGGTTTTCGCGTGGCTATGGGGACGGGATACGAGGTTTTGGGCTGACTTCCTTCGTGCCCAAGGAGAGACTGGGCTTACGATTACACCCTGGGGAAAGACTGTAGTGCAGTCCGAGGCCGGAAGAGGACTGAGGGGTCTGTTTCCGGGAGAAGCTTTCGATGAGCAGCGGGAGCTGACCTTCACTCACCCTCGAACAGGCTTCGTTGTCGGTACGTGCGATGCCTCGGGGGCGGGATTCGTGTGTCCAAGCCGAGCTATCGAGATTGGGCCTTTGATCGTTATATCGCTTGCGGCGCTGCGCCGAATGTGTAAGCTAGTACCCCGTTTCCCCCTTTTGTTGATGCTGCTGTGATTCGTCAGGCCCCAAAAAGGTTTTGACGCGGCAGGTGCAAGGTTACCGCGTGGAGCGGCGGGAAGACTGGTCTGGATCGCGAAGGCCGATGGATCGAGTCGTCTTGTGCCAGGTAGGAGCTGTATGATCAGCTCCCCCGGGAGACGATGATGGCGTTTGCTGAAAGGTGCCATGGTGCAATTGTGTTGCGAGGCTCTCAGCATAGAATGGACGAGAAGGGTGCCGGAAACCCGTTTTGGCAGTCGTGAAGGGTGGGAGTCCGAGGTTGATCACTACCACCAGGGGTCTTCCCACCTGTAATTCGACTCAACACTATCGGCACGACAAAGCTCTCACAGCGTTTGTGTGCCATCTACTTAATGCGGATCAAGCTCTTAAACAACTTGGTGCCGTCGAGAAGGCCACCTGCCTCTCTAGCGCGCGCTCTCCTCTCCTCTTTGTCTGCCTCGTCGCCGGCGCCATGATGAATGCTGAATGCTGCGCCTGTTCGCCATATGTGTTCGGGCTGCAGACGACCATGATGGAGCGAGGAGCTCCACTCGCTGACCACTTCACCATTCTCGGGAAGGTAGTTTTATCTCGAGACCCCCCTGGCCAAGATCAAGAACCACGGTGTCGCGTGTGCATAGGATTCGATGTAGCATTCCATCGGAGTACGATGCTTCGAGGCGCCATCCGCTCTGGAGCTCAAGAAGAAACGAGGTGAGAAACCCTCTAAATGTTCTTCAAACTCAACTGAACGCCTCTTGTACAAAAATCGACTCCTATTACAGCAAAAAACCTTTTGACAAAGAACTGTCACGTTTTTTTCGGAGAAATCAATTGCCATGTGTGTGTGTGGGAGATTTGTAGTAGCACCCCGCGTAGGGTTTCTCCCCGGCATGCTTGTGGTTGACAGACAGACAGACAGACAGCAGAGACTTGTGACGGAGGTCCTCTGGAATCCATAGAATCCATGCCTCTTGCGGGTGTTTCAATTTCGGCTGGCATCACTAGCTCCTCAGTGTATGGACTCACACAGACGCAAGTATATCCAGTGCCCAGTGGATTCGTAACTCTGTAGAGTCTTCAACACACGTCCTCTTGAGGGTAGGTAATGTTGCGCGTGGTACGTTTTCTAGAGAGGCCTTGGCTGTGGTCGTCATATTGTTGGTTCCGTCGTTACAACCCTGAGCGCACCGCTTCCGTCGTGTTGCTTGTCAGAAATTCGTGGAAGTCTTGGCTGGCGGCCTCGAAGAAGGTGGTCATGTATCAAAGACACCAGCTCGGTCGTACGGCCGCCAATGATGGGGTCGCGGCTAAACCTCCTCAAGGAATTTTCGCGCTTGCCGGGGACTTCGTGCCTCAAGACGGGGCGACGGCAGGCGTCGACGGACAGGCGTCACGCGGTACGGAGATGGAACCGGCAATTCAGCCACCGGAGAAAAGCACAGACTGGGCTAAACTTGTTGTGGGCGCGGCCCGCTGGCTGGTGGAGAATGGAGTGTCTGCGGTAAAGTCGGCGGGTGTGCCGACCGTCTTGACGTTTTTGTGTCTATTCCTAGTGATGCAGCAGCAGCGTGATGTACAGCGACTCAGCGGGCAAGTGGAAGAGTTGGTGAACGCTGTCGGCGAGATGCGCAGCAACGTAGACAGGAACATAGAACCATGAGACAACCGGTAAGTCAGTTCAGTTTACGAGAATGCCAGGGTAGTGTACGGCGCAGCACGCCTCCTTCCTGCACGTCACGATGTTTTAGTCAGCGTGAACGTCTGACAATATTCAAGAACTTTCCATGACAAACATGCCCCTGGCAGCCAGATAGAAAACCGGTGATCTTCAACCTCCAGACAGACAAGATGTACTTGCCATGTCGATATTTTTCGTGCTTCGGCATGTCTTTCTCTGGTGGCAGCGAATATTTTCTGGCGCTTCCTTCTGGGGGAAACGTACAAGGCTCATCGGTACATTACCGCGAAGACCTTCAGTCATCCGTGGCACGTGTACTCCGCCGCGACTGACTTCATCTGGCGGGGATGCATTTCCAAAAAGAAAAGCCTTCGCAGGAAATACAAAACTTCTTTGCATGAAACAGGAAACCTTTTTATTACTGCGCAACGCACACACGTTCCCACACACCATGAGACCATGAGCAACACGCTACACACGAGCCACGCGATCAAACGCAGCGGGTTCCAGCGGTAGGATCTGCGGCAGGGAAGCCGCTAGCCCCAAACAACACACTGACGCAAAAGCGAAAAGTCGCGGTGAGAAAAAATAATTCCAGCACATTAATACTGGAGTTTGTACGGAAATCCGGCACCCCCGAACACTGAGATGCCGCGATACAACCGTGATAACATTGGCCATGTCCTCTTGCGTCGCCCCCAGGAGGCAAGTCACTAAACTCCCGAAGAGGAGCCTCGTAGATCTTGCCCGTGGTCGTCCCGGGGCAGTACACCATACCATCCGACACTTCCGGACTTAGACCTTGTCTGTGATATTCTATAACACATACGTACCAAGCATCGTGCACCTAGCAGAGACGCTTGTCGTCCCACCAAATACACGAACGTACCTAATTTCTACAACGTGTACGTTTCCAACACCACGCAGCGACGCTACAACACGGCCGGGCCCCACAAGTGCAGGGAGCTTGCGCATACTTCTACATCTTTTCGTGGGACACAAACCGAGACAGAGCAAGCTGCGGTGCAAATACTTCCACGAACAGCAAAACTGACAGAAACCCGTACAAGCTGAGCACGTGGCGTGGCCGAGGGACTCATCGAACCTACCAAAAACGCCATCGCAGCCGGCTCCTCCACCAAAAATCGACGCACTCATTCGCCTCTCTAAGATAAGTAACGCAATGTGGCCAGTCGCTTTCGTTCCTTGCGGGAACTCAGTGACACCTGCAGCATTCTGCTACCCTCGGTTCCTTGACGTTAACAAGGTACTCGAGTCTTCCGCAACGCACTACTGCTTTAGCCTCCAAAATGCGCGACGATTGGCGTCAAGGGTGTCTAGTCGCCATTGCTAGGCAGCGTTATCGGCGTAAGCGGAGAGTGCGGAGGAGAGGGCGGGATGGGGGGTGAACCGTCTCCAGTGACCTTTCCTGGCCCGTTCTTGTAGTAGTCGTCGACCTTCGGGTGGCTGGCAACCTGCCCATGGTTACAAGGGTGCGGCATACGAGGTAGTTGTTTCGACAAAGGTAGACACAAGAGCAATTTGAGAGCCACCGCGAAAAGGCCGCAAGTCTCGACAAGTAACGAAAACACAAGAAGTTAACACGCCTAAACACTGGAAGCGATAACTAGATGAGAGGAAAGAAGCGGTTTATCTCGCGACAACAGCACACCGGTCACCGTTCCGACCACAGGTACATTGCAGCCAGTTTGTGACTCACCGCTTCGGAGTGAGCGCGAACCCTCCGGAAGTTTCGCAGTATTGTGTCGGGGATCCCGACGAGCACCTAACGTCAGACGAAGCAACGACCGTGCGGGCAACCATTCACCTTATGTCCCTATTTGGGAAGTAAAGTTTGCGCCTCCCGACGATAGACATAGGGCATCAACTTGAGTTTCCTTCGAGACCAAACACACCCAAAGGTGCAAACTGTTTTACGGCGGCATGAATCCCTCGCTGGCTTCACTGCGAAAAAGGTTGCAAACCCTTCGCGGGCGTTTTCTGACAACGGCATGTCAGCGGTCCACCCTGTGCTCGTCGCGTACTCATCTATCTCTAGTTTACACAGATAGATTTACGGTGCAGACATTTGTAGCAATGTATCGTTCGTGCAGAGTCCGCCACATGGATAATGTTAAATTTGCTCTCCAGCAGGCTGACAACAACAACCTCTCCTGTATCACATCGCTCCTGTTTCGGAACACATTGCTTTACATACATCCGCACAAAAAGAGGATAGTCCAGTCAGAATACAAGAACCGTAAGCTGTTACTTGTTGAACGGGCTTTCGCGTACAATCTCACCCCGCGCCTCAACCACTTCATCCTTGTATAGATGACGAGGTCGCAGATGGTGATCTCTTCTCCGACGAAGAACGTGGTTCCTGCGCGCTCCAGCCATCGCTCGAGGTATTGCAACCACAGCGGCAGAGTCACCTCCGAGAGCTCCTTTCGCATGCTCAGCTGTTTCCGTACCGCACGCAAAACAGAGGAAGAAGAGGTTATGGACAGCGCTCGAGACGGGTCGAAGTCACGCCTGACGGGACGTTCCATGTATCATTCCGGTCCAAGGAAGTGTGACGATGGTATCATAGGGGTGGTACAATCGATCTCTAAGGTCGGGGTTGGACTTCCTCACGCAACGTGCAAGTTCAAACGTTTGGGGCCAGTTCTCCGACAGACCTCGTTGGGCAAACTGTTTGTGCTTTGCGATCTCCCAACCGGGACCCTGCGGGCGGCTTTTGAAGCCTACCTTGCGCTGTGCGTTCGTCTCGTAAATTGACGGTCGGATAGCGGCCTGGATGTCGAACATGCAATCGATTACGGCATCCACTTTGGCTGCTGCAATCGGGTCCGAAGGATACCTTCGGTAAACAAGAGCGGACGACGGGGTGCGATAGAAGCGTTGAAAACCAGTGACATGAAACGAGTCCTATGCGAGGAAATCCTACGTGGGCAAATGATGAATCTACTCGAGGGATATAAACAGTGCCCAACACCCCCAACATGTACTTGTTGACGCTAGGCACTGATCAATTGTCCAACAACAGGGTACGCCCCCCCTTACGTGTACTTGTTGAGTCTGGGTACAGTTCACAATGAAAGGCGGAAACGGTGCTTTGGGTTGCTACCATTGTAGGCAGTGGCTGCTGACTGCTGCGATGTAGACATTTAGATCGCTTCTGCAGTAGGTGCGTCCGAATACAAATGTGAGAGTTCGTTGCGTTACGCAGCCCCACGAGAGAGGTATTCAAGGGCTCAGTGGTACTTGTACAAGCTAAGCTGTGTTGCGAATCTTGCGAGACTATGAACGTCCTCATCCCCCGTACCAAATGGAACCATGCTGTTGTGGTACTTGTAGTGGATAGGCCACTTTTACTCCCAACACGCGGGCGGTACAGCAGTAGGGCTCACACTTCAGTGCTTGGCGCTGTGTAAAACCTAGTCCCTTGGGTGAATATTCTCTCCGTCGATGGGTTTGCAGAGAACATTGTTTGACAAGAACATGTACATCGTGATCACGGATTCCAAGACCATTAATAAGTGAGACTTTACCATAGGAACAGTAATTAGTTCAAGCAAATTGTCACCAGCCACTGCGATACGTACGCCACATGATACCGCGGAGGGTCCTCCCTGGCAGTTTGTTGTTGGACCCAGCAGAGATTTATAGGGACATTCACTTCAACACACCCCTTCGACTGCTGTGGCTAGTCTCCTTTCGTGGTTTATGTGTAATTTCCAAAAATAGCATTAGGTCACATCTCTACAGGAGTTGTTGTTCCCGCCGGCATCACTGATTCCTCCGAGGGTGAAGACTTGGCCGCAAACAACAGTCTAATATTCGGCAGGTGCTGTTGTATCTGGACTACCTAGTGGAGCTGTCTGCAACACATTCCTCCGAACGGATATCGTCTCGAGCGGATAGTCTCTCTTTGGCGATGTATACAATTATAAATTTCCTACAAAGATGCAGGTAAGGATTGCAAAAACAGATTGCTCGTGCCTGCACACCCCACACCCCACACCACACACCACACGCATCTTGGAAAGAAACAAACTTGGCGCAATAAATTTACGTGATATTTTTTTGTTTCACTCACAGTCCACCGATTTTTCCAGCGTATCGGAGAATCGCAGCGCTCTGGGGAAAGACCTCATCATCCACCGTTAGGATTGGTAGCTGGGCGAACGGAAGGTCTGGTATACGGCATGACAACGCAAAGGGACCTTGGGCAAAGAGGGAGGGGGTGTGTACATGTATGTGGAAGATGACGTTTCGGAGCATCAGAGCGTGATACAGTTCGAACGTTCGAACCGGTACGCTCCTCTGTCCAGTAGTTTGAAGTTACGGATGAATCGGACGGAACGTGTTCCACCCCGTGTTACCAACTGCGGGGCCAACGCTGCTGGTGCTCAGTTGCACCGGAATCATCGCCAACAACTCTCCACGAGCAGTCCACCATAAACAACGTATCCCACGGTCCATGTGTCAGCCCAACCAAGGGGGGCTACAGTAGCCCATACATCAACATGCGTACCTGGTATGCATACGAGGCACGCATACGGGTAGAATTCCAACGGAGACTGAGACAGCATGACAGCAGCCGATGCACTCTATCCTATGGAAGACCACGCGGTAGCCCAGAGAAAGGAAGAATCTGAAGTCGCATTGGTACTACATACTGGGTCTACACAACCCCACCAAAAAGCATTCTACTGATCCCACAAAAGAGCTTCACGCACGCATGTCGATATGGCTTGAGCATTGCTGTCATGTGTATTGTACAAGTACCTCGTTTGATTTTCGCGAACTCTTGCCGCGAAACTCTTCGGTCCTTGAACGGTATGCCGCCCACGTAGAAAGCGAGCCTAATCGCCTCCGCAGGCCCCGGGATGTCAAAGTACGTCAGAGTGATGGAAGACATTTGGTGACTCTGGTACCTGCGACGCTCAGTGAGAGTTGGCAGGTAGCGTGGGTGATGTGGTGAGGTGTGGGCGGTGGGTCAAATTAATTACGCCGCATTTTCTTTGTGAACGGGGTGATCGGGTGGATGGGCTTTGGGCCACACACGCCACACACAGGTGGCCATTTGTTTACACGGTGGTTGAGAAGGGGTCTTTCCTGCAACCCCCCCACCCATAGGTCCTACGTACCCCCTTGCTTCCTCTCCTGGTGTTGCCCGCCTTTCTGCTTTGGTTGATGTGTGATGGCTGGTGTGTGGAGGTTCAAATTCGTGGTTCATTGAGTCGATCAGTGCGCATGTTTCCTGCCGCGCGATCTTCAGGAATCTTCGGCTGACCAATCAAATCAATCCATGCTATGATATGCTACTACAACGAAGTACCACGATTATAGTAGGAGTGTTTGGTCGCCGCCGGTTGCGCGGTTTGCCTGCTCTACTCATCATCATCCAACTTTTAGTGGGCGAGAGGCCCGTAGATGGTTCCGTGGTTTTACAAACAATTTTCCTAAAATCGTATCCACAACAGTTATTGTACTACTGCTGTGACAGCAACATAATAAACAGCGGTAGACCAGCAAGTTGTCGAAAGACACTGCGCCGTGTTTCCTGTGAAGGAAGTTCATTTAATGACACACGATAAAACGGAGGGCTTCTCCCTCGATCTTTTTGTCGTTGACCCAGTAGAGAACTACAAGGGGATGTATTGTAAAATGTAGGGTACCTTACAGATGTTTTTGTGCTTATTATGTAGCACCAGCTGGTATTATCACTGAAATCATCAGTGTAAGGCTCAAAGCAGACTCGAAATAAGCCCAGTACCCAGCCGGTTCTCCTCCACTCACAGAAAAGACTCCAACACATGCCGTCTGACTGTGGTTATATCTCGAACGGGGAGTCTTTCGGTGTTTGTATTTATTTTTCCAAATACCTGAAAGGAAGACTGGGAAGGCCGGTGCAGAGACCTCGAGAACCCCCATAGCACCACAACCAACGTTCACGTTGTTTTGGGCAAAAGGAGAAGTGCTCGTCAGCTGTGTCAACGTTCGGTGGAAAATACTTTACTTCCAAGATTGCCGCCGGCATTCGGGGCCGGCAGTTTGAGCCCGAATCTCCACACACACGACAGACAAAAACGCTATCCCGTACAACCAAAGTAGAGAGTGATACAAAAACTCAAGCTCCGGCTTACGAAGCTATGGTCATCAACAAACCAACGAACGAACGCATGATGCTGCAAAAAAACATGACCAGCCCACACACAATACGACCATACCCTTGTACTCCGATACCTGTTACTGTACAAACGACCTACCGAGCAAAAGAAGAGCCTTCAAGTGCCACACACTCGCGTACAACACCTATACCGAGAAAGACAGCGATTGACTTCACCAAAACAATGGAGCATGAACAGTATACAACTATGCTGGCGCCCTAGCCGGCCGCAGCGCGCACGACAACAGCGCAACTTTACACACTGCGGCCTGGTGCCTCTAGGTCGTGAATTAAAAGCGTGAAGACATGAGATAGATGTGGTGCAAGAAAAAGAAGGACGAATTGCGCCACGCGCGTACACACGCGTTTCGAGGCGATCAACATATTTCATATTTTGGTCAATGCAACAGTGAGATCCTTCCGCTTCTTCCGGACACGACACGTGCCTTGACCCCATGCAATCGGGCAACAACCTAAGCGTGCTCGGCGGTGGTGAGGCCGAAACCGCGAATGAATCCACAACAACATCGCGGTGCGCAACGCCATCATCGGGTGTTCAAGTCTTCCGCTGGGGGTGCCAGTGGCAGTCCATCTCCAGGGCTATCGGCTTCCTCGCCAGCTGGGGGAGCCAGCGGGGTGGGGACGGTCCATTCCGCGCTGGGCGACGTGGGTACTCCAGCGTCGGTGGTACCTGTCCAAGGTTCGAGAAGAGGTTGGAAACGCGGCCATCACGAAAACGCCCTGATCACCCGAAGGAACGCAAGTGCCACTCGCTATCCACACTTACCAGCAGGTTTTTGCGACATGACCCCTGAAACACTTGCTTACCTTGCATTTACGTTCCGACCACTCCCTACCATGCACGGTTGATTCAGGCACCATTGCGTATAGAAGACATACTCCGGGGTATCAAACCTCCTTCGCAAGGCAACAACCGAGTCAATGCATGCAACGACGGAAGCATGGGGCGGTCCATGCGTTTCTCAGAGGTAACGTGACGTCACGTGCTCGCCCACCTCGCGAACGACAAGATTAAGATGTAAACTAAACGAGGACTCGGGGAAAACTCGCGGTCCTACAAACCATCAACCTAACCTGCCGCTGGTGTCGTTGACGCGGTGCCGTTGACGTTTGGTTCTCCGTTCACTTCGGGGCAGTTCAACTCCTGGTGGACCTGCCGGTTGGAACAACAACAACAACAACGGCACTCGTGGTGTTTGCTTTCATCAAAGAGAGCGCCATGCAAAACTCGACGAAGACATGCATCGCTCGCCCCCCAAACAAGGGCAACAATGGTCCAGTTCTTCCGTCTATTTACCATACTAACTATGTTTTGAGTTGCAGTAAATTTTCCAAAGGTCGAAGCACCAAAGCTGGCAAAAACAACCAACCTTGCCCCCACCCCTCTATCTCCCTCGTTTCCGCGACATCTCTCGCGCTATGGCCGTGGACTACCACATGTGTACGGCGAGCGAGCGATACGTTTACCTTGCGTTGCCAAGACTTGGCCTTCTCGTAGTTTGCGTTCATATCCAAGGCCAGCTCGAAGTTGATCTTGGCCTGGTGCAGATCTCCTGTTATAATAGATACATATGTTACGAAGAGGGATGCGGTGTCAGGACCAGCACAACACGCTCTTGTGTTAAATGTCATACACACACTTCAACACCAAAATTGAGCGCTGTGAGACCTTGGCTCCCGTTGTAGCGGCAGACTTGCGCGTCGTAACAACAAATCAGACTAAAAATAGCAAAGCTACATACACCACCAACGCAAACGTTTGCGAGGGGTCTCACCCATGCTGTAGTAGCACAGCCCCATATTGTGGAACGTTACGTGGTGCTGTCCGACGCTCTCAGAGCTGTCCCGGTAGAACCCGAGAGCATTCTCGTACTCCCGGATGCCATAGTAGAACCGCCCGATCTCGAACGCCACGTCCTGACACGGCGAGAGGGAGGGAGGGGACAACGGCCGTCCGACTGTGAATACACAAAAAAAAAAAAAATGTGCAGTCGCTCGCCCACACGTACACCATGTAGAAGAGCGTAACGACACAAGTCGGACGGACACTGATATGTTGGTGTTCGTTAGTGTCGGGTGTGGAATGCGCCCGTCCAATTCTACAAGGCCGACCGCTCTCTGGACACAAGACAATCCAACACCTGGTGGTGGCTGTGACGCAGAAAGCTTTGCCAGTCAGGCTGGAAAAAAAAACTCGGGGCTCGTGGGTAACCACGACGCCCACAGGTGGGCTGTGATGGGTGGCCGGACAGCGGCAGCGACAGCTACACCGTTTCGCCTCAACAAACAACTCACGACCGGGCCCTTGTGACTCTTGATACGACACCACATGGCTGAATCGAGTTGCTTTCACTGCACGATGAGTTACAATAGTGTAGTTTACCATACCTTGTCCTTATCCAGCATGTAGTAGTTGCTCCAAACGCGCGGAATTCCTCGGCACAGGTCCTTCTTCAGCTTTGTCACCGCCGTCGAAACCTTTCAGAACACACCAAGATCCGACAGACTTTCATGTTTAGAGTACGGAGGGTAGCGGGCGGTGCTTTGCCAAAACTCGAGCTTACCAAGCGCGGACGGCCGCCCTAGTACCCCTTCCGCCTTGCCAAGACTCGAAGACTCAAAGAGCGAAAACGCAGAATCTCGTGAACGCCGACGACCGCCATGCAATAACGTCCGACAGCAAATATCGCCCGCTCAACGTAATGTAATCACGCAGTACACAACGAACACCGGAAGAACTTATGCCATGCCGTGCGTCGGTCTCATCTCGAGCAGTCTATAACATGCAAGTCTACCTGGTTGAGGATGGTGTCTCTGAACTTGTAAAACACATCGGGATCCCAGTCGCCCAGCTTCAACAGCGCCACGACGCTCTTGAGTGTTGGTGTCGCGGCGTCCTGAAACAAGAACAACCAACAAGAAGAATCACAAACACGAGTTGGAATCAGCGAGAGAGAGCCAAAAAGCCAAGTACAATACACCGTCCGCAACCGCAGCGACACACTCGAGAGTATCGTCACAATGAGCGCGTTTTGAACGATATTTGTACACTCTTGTTCGCGTGGGCCACTGCTCACACCCTGCTCTGCTTGTCCATGCACTTTCCACACAAGGCCGCCCAAATCTAACTGAACGACTCGGTCTTCTAGATACTCGGGCGGACCCCATGGCCACACCCCACCCTATCCTGGCGGCGGAACCAAAACGCCTTCTGGCGCAGTGAGTCCGTCAAGCGTATGTGTTCAACGAGCAAAAACTTACTCCCATGCCGGTACCATTCTCCTTACGAGACGCCAATGGCGGGAACAGAAAACACAACACATCAACATCATCTTGCTCCTCACGAATTACATAGCAACGGCAACAGGGGATATGCAAACCGCGCTGGCTCTCACCTCCTTCATGCACTTCTGCATCACAAAGAAGTCGTTGGGCCCGAATTGTTCCACGTTCGTTCTGAACGCGGCCTCCAGGTGCGGGAACTGGCTCGATCGCTCCGAGTCTTTTCTGTCCATTGCCTCCCCCGTCCATTCCCCGTCCTCGTCTGTGTACGCATACGCACGCGAGACAAGAGAACACAAGCCAAACCAAGAGTCACATCCAAGACCCACCCAACCGGAGGCTGTGTCAATAGGGATGAGTCAACCTCGAACGCAGAAAGGCCCGCCGCAAAAACTCTCGGGGTACATGTAGGCCGCGAATGAATGTGTCCTCTGAAGGCACCATGTACAACATAGTACCCCGCAGAACGATTGACAAGCGCCAGTAACCGTTCCAGGCTAAAATACGCACAGTTCACAGGTCACACCCGTGTCTAGCTGGCAAGCACGCCGACAGGTTTTCAAGTCGACCGCAACAGAACCTTCAAAGCTCTGGAGCAGCCTTCGTTTTTAACCTTCGACCAGGCTAGCTGCCGTTTCTCTGCAATTCCGCCATGACCCGGAAGGGACTCACCGTCTCCCGAATCCCCTGTTAGCACGAACGTCGAAACCTTCAAGCTGGCCTGTGTTACATTACAGGGCGTCGAGGGCAGGCAGGCCAAAAGGGCCGAGTGGCAGACGTCAATCAACGGTGTGCAGACCGTTGGCAGCCTTCAGGCTGGCAGAGGCACTTGCTACATAGGGGTGGGGGTGAAGGCGGGGGATCCATCCCCTAGTCCTCCCGCCTGTTGAACCCCGAGATAGCGAACACACAAGCTATTGTGTACGGCAGGACAGGTCAAAACTGTTACGAGGAAACCGGATTTGATGCCACGTGTAGGCCTGTTTGTGTCTTCTCGCCTTCATGATAAAACATCACACTTTGGTCGCGTCAAAGACGCCATTCATACACCAAAAAATTCCCGCAGTGCGGGCCGACTGGTACAAAGGGTTCAATCATAGACGCAAGCCATAATCCTAAATAAAAAAACAACACGTGTTGTCACAAGAGATTAATATGCATATATTCAAGCAGAAACTCAAGCTGAGCGATACCATAGCCACTGGCGAGGAGCGGCGGGTGTTTTAGCTTACTGCAACCGAAAACTACAGCCGGCGCCGCCGGCCAATTTCCCGACACCAGAATGAGTTCCCGGGTCCATTTTCGGGTGTGCGCAACGATTCTTCATGCTCCCACCTCTTCCTGCGGGTTGTGTAGCGCGAATCCGCCCCTGCTCGTAAAGTAGGCGCCGATGGAGTGGTAGTTCACCATCACTGAGAAAGAGCCATGCACCGCGATGTGCGGGTCCATCAAGCCCTTGAATTGCTCTGGGTTGTTGTTCCCCTTGTCCCCCGAGATGACGAAAGCGCTATTATGGTAGAGGTGCGGGGGGACGGGGAGTTACGATTAGCCACATCATTAACGTCAGGCTCACGGAGGCTGGGAGAGCTGAGACTACCAGGCTACACGGGTTCTTGGATGATATCATCCAGCATGGCCAGTCTTTCTATCGTACACACTTTGCAACAAGAGGGACAAGAGGGATGCTCTCGCCGTGGAACGGAAGAACCGTACGAAAAACCAAAGGTTACCCTAGATCGTATTGAGCTTGAAAAACACCATAATTTTGGGCACGCGATCTATCTGCCTCTGTCTGTCTGTCTGTCTGTCTGCGGCCTCAACTCACCGGTTGTCGCTGAATGTCATCAATCGTCTCAACGCCCTCAGAGCTCCCACGGGAAAGAGGATGGACATCCCGCCCGAACCCTGCGCCGCGTAGTCTACGTACCAGTCCAGTATTCGCTTGAAATGCGGCTGTTTTCCGACACCCAATCAAATTCAGAAGAGGGACAACAAGGGGAGGAAAATGTAGCATAGTCAACCCCAACGTCGGCGGTGGTTGCGACACGATAGACAGACACCCTTACAGCCTGAGTGGTTTCCACAATGGCCTGCCTAACCCCGTAATTTTTTGGGACGTCTACTAAAAGCGGCAGCCAGTAGAGCCGCAAGCACGATGAATAGCTACACCAGGTCGCCACTTGACATGCCCAAGGTTTTCCCTCGAACACCCACATGTTAGGAGTATGGAAAAAAAATTCGATACCGTCCTAAGCACGATGCTGATACTCATCCTGATAAACACGCATCGACGTCGATCGGGCAAACGAAACGGTCTGAGGAAACCAACACACCACGGGGTTCCTCTCCCCACCTTAAGAACCCGAACGTATGCAAACGCCAGTACGGCGTTGTCCTTACAGCAAACAATCACGCCGCCCCTTGCCTTTAGTCTAGAGCACAAACCTCGACAGAACAAACACACACCTCATCGCCGTCTTCGTCCGTGTAGTAATCGTCCGGGATATCTTGATAGCTGAACCTGTTGTCGAGCCGCTGGATAATCTCTGGGTCTAAAGGGTCTGGCTCATCTTTCTGGGTCGACCCAACGCTGATCAGCCCTTCCTTCGCTTTCCCTTGGTCTACCTGTGGACCCACACCGAACCGCACCCCAGCATTTAACAGGGGGTGTTTTCCTCGGCAGATAAGGTTTGAGCCATTCTCCAAAAGGTACACCGTGGCTCGCCTTCTTCTGGAGGTGCAAAAGTGTGGAGTGTCAGCTGGCTGGCTCTTCGCGATATATCGCACGCAGAAGCACACATCCGATATGGCGCTCTGCTCTTGTGCATTGTGATTTTGAACGAACGCGAAATGTCCGTGGCAGTTTGTCGTCACTTGCAACTCGTCGAAGCGAGTCTCCGTAGAACACAAGTACAACGTCCGGCATGCTCAAAACAAGTATAAACGACAGACAGACAGACACGTTCCACCACGCCCACTCTTCCATCTATATGTTGCGCGCAAGCACAAGCTTCCATACTTTTCACCTGAAAAATATCGTGGCACAAGGTGTCGAAAAGGTAGTTCGCCACGACGCAGATGGGGTTAACGCACGTGCCAGGCCCGAGCAACACCCCGGATCGGCTGAGCTTGATAGTCGTGTCGTTTACAGCGTCGAAGATGGCCATGTCCAATTGACCAGAATCTAGGAAGGGCTTCAACACCTGCAGCATCAAACCAAGGGCCCGTCGTTAAGCACGCCCACTTGGCTACTGCCTGCCAGTTTCAAGCCCAAACATTTTCTTTCCACCTTTTCGGCCACCACCTGCATGCAGCGGCGAGCTTGCTCCACATATGCGGGGAGCAGGCTGTGTTTGGGCGTACTCAAGTGCCTGTTTCTAACAGCTGCAACGGACTAGACGGTCTATGGCTGTGCGCTACCAGGCACAGTTAGATGCGAACCTAGCAAACGGAACATCGGTTGGCCTTGTCTCGCCCGGTGAAAAGGCAATCGGAAGCCACAATGCCTTGCTTGCCTGGTGCTCTTCATTGCGAAACACTGGCATGCCCTACAGGCTCGACGCCGTGCGAATTCTGCCTCTCCACTCACCGGGTGCTCCGCCCAGAACTTAAAGTTGCTCTCGGTGAAGTCTGTCATGACGTACACCATCTTCTCCACCGGAAAGTCGCACACTTCCTGCTCGGCCGCGAGGATTGTCGGGTTCGATCGACACAGCAGTTAAGAGGCTGACAACTACAGGGGACCATGTACCGGAACGCACCCAGCTGAGCAAGCTCCTTCGCGAACAAGAAATGTTCAGTTGCTACAGCAGCACCTCTGTAGAGGTGTGGTCGGCAACACACACATACATCTGCACGTGAATAGCAGCGCCAGCATGATTATTGTAGCATACTGCCATTCGAGCAGGTCACTCGAAAGACAAACAGCCCAAAGGCAAAACACAACGATATGCCCGCCAGATGGATCACGCACGCGCTCGCTCCCTTCCGCCCCGGCTCTCTCATCGCCGTGCTAACCTGCCAACCGTGTCGTCGCAACACCGCTCAAGGGAGTGAAAGGCGCCCTGTGGTGCGTACATCTGACCTTCATTTCGAGTAAAGCCTTGAGCATGAAAAAGCTGAACTTCCCAGACCCTGTGCCGAGCTCGATGATATACAGTGGTTCCGTCGGGTCCAGCTTCATGCCGCCTGCCCCCCTCACGCAGTCCCGTAGAAACCCGCTTAGCACTTGCGCGTAAGAGCGCCCGATGAAGGCGTTGCACGTGATAAAGTGGGGCACGATACCCTGTGAAGCCGGCAGGGTCAGCGATTTAGCGGCAAGGCGAAGCAAACATTAAGCAACGCCGCGAACGCCTCGATGGCCTTCACTCGCAACCATGCATGCATGAAGAAAACGTTGTGGCGGACGGACAATCAACGACGTTCACGAGGGTAACGTGTGGGGTGAGATCTACGCTGAACCCGAAGGCCAACAGAGCAGCGCTGTTCTGACAGATGTATGCTGTTCTCACAGTTGCCGCGAAACTCTTCTGAAATCTTGTTTCGCCGCAGCACCTTTTGACTTTTGACCCTAGGCGTTGTAGCGCGCCGCACTCGTCCAACAAAGCCTTGCTTAAAAAAATGCGGCCAGCCAACGTGCCTCAAAACGGGGGGTCTATTTACTAAATATTTACCCAAAATGCCGTTTGCCTATAACGAACCGTGTGGCTGTTGGAATATTAAGCCTTGGGGTTCAGAGTCACGGTATCCTACCATGCAACCTTTTTTCGTTTACTCGAATTCTGCAAAGGAGGTCAGCACCTGCGCTATGCACCAACGAACGGGTTGGCTGCAGGCAACAAACTACTGCTGCATCATGATCGTATACAAGCACACGTGCGAGAGTGGTTGAAAAGCAAGGTCAGACTTTTCCTCGAAGTCTCACGTGAGGACAGAGCGTCTGCAGTTTGGCCTTGTGCACCATGCACATCGGACCAACATTATTCAGAGAAAAACCCCATGAGCAAAAAAAGATTGTAGCCGTGTACTGATTTCGGCGAACCCAAGGAGAAAATGCGCCAAGGTGCCAATGAGCAGTCATGTCGACTGCTAAGTAGTGTCTTTGGGCAGAGGGTAGAAAAAAAATGATGAACGTGGGTGGTATGCACACACCACCGTATCTACACAATCGTCGGCAACCCGTCCCCCCAAGGATCAAAATCCCGTATCTAAATAAGCGCTCCAGCAGTAGACCCACACCTGGCTCCAGGACTCCACCCCTTTGCGGTCGTAAAAGCTCATCATAAGCTTCCACAGGTGCGACTTGGAGCATTGGGTGAAATCTTCCAGCACACACCGCTCGTTCCCCGCACCGGCACCGATACCGCCGGCACCACGGTTGTGTTGTTGTCGTCCGTCCCAACCACCCGATTCGCCGTTGTTATTCCGCGTATCGGAAGCCGTGTGCCCTCCTGGTCGCTGCTGATGCTGTACGTGCCTAGGGGGAGGGCTCGATCCGCCCCAGTCGGACGGCTCTAGGTTCCCATCTAAGGCATCCTCGAGCTTGGCCAGCATGGCAATCACTTCGGGCGATTCTTGTACGCCGTTGTCTGCTGTTTGGTTTTGAGAGAGCCACGGAAGGCAAAAAAACTCGTCCGCGCGTTTGGTGGTTGTACGTGCAGTGGCTCACGAAAGTGTGTTGGTGTCCACCAGTGGGTCTTCTTGGACTTACAGTATAGCTTTGCTTGGGAAACTGTGCCGTTCGTGTGTGCGGCCACCCAACGACATGTCCTGTATCTTCCTAGACGAGAGGTTTCGCAAAAAAAAAAAAACTGGACAATGAGCGAGAGAGATACAGAATACAACAACACTCACTCACTCACCAGCATTCTGCTGCACGCAACTGGCCTCTCGCACCGCTACCTGGCTCGTCGCCATCGCACACACCACAGAGGACGTGCGCGAGAGGGAGAGGCGACGACACGGCTGTCTAACTGGTTGGTCTGTCGTGCTGTCGTGTGTGGTATCGCTATAAATAAGCGGTCCGTTGAGGGGGCATCGTGGATCGTGGAACGAACGGACAAAGGGGGGGGTTCGCTATAAAAGGTTCTCCGCTCTCCAGTCAGCTGGTGGGCTGCCCTGGACACATTGCATCACAGGTCACCTCTTCACCCTCATGGCAACGAGCCCACGACATGAGGGCGAACATGTAAGATTGACGACGGAAACGGTTGCAGTTCCTGGGATTTCTTGTGTTTGTAAGAGGATATGCGTGCGGTCCGAGCAAGAGAGATACAGCACCGCTTTTTCACATAGTACAATAGAGAGTTCTTCCAAAATCACCGATCCGATGTTACTATAATACACTGCTGCTGGTGTTGTTGCACCTGTCCTTTCATCTTGTGTGCTGTGCTGCTGCCCTCCCCTGTAAACCTGTACCGTAGAACCGCCATTCACATGCTTTCCACAATGGAGGTTATCTATAGTTTCTGCAGGTTTCTGCTATTAGCGGTCGAACGTACACTACTGCTGTGTACATGTTACCGGGAAGCAGCATTTCTACGGGCGCGTGCTGCTGAGGTTGCGCGTGATTCAATCATCGGCAAAGCATTCCGCTGTAAGGCTATGTCTATACAACGAGACCCTTGGGTACTGAGCGATTTGGAGGACTCTACGACATGTCTAGGGAGTTGCAACACCAGGGTGGAGTGAAAATGGTTCGACAGCAGGTTTGTAGGCTCGTGATCGTTTCTGATTTCATATTTTTTTTGGGGGGGGGCGTTGACGACGATCCCCGCAGTGGCGCAACATTGTGCACACCATGTGTTCATCCTAACGTACTTGTATTCCATAGATCTACATTTGCGGACCGGCCGGCAGTGGCGCGAAATTTGCCGCCAGAAAACTGCGACAAGCATTCGCCTGCAGCAGCAGACTGAACTCAGCTCAGACATGTGTCACGTTGACAGAGGGATGACAAAAGAGGGCATTAGCAACTCGCGCATGGGGCTATGACTTTCTTGCCACACCCCTCTACTTTGGTGGCAAGCGGTGGCCGGTCTGAAGAGCACGAATGGGGCTGTCCACTTGGGGGAGGGGCCGACAACGCAACACAACATCACAACGGTTGAAGAGTCATACGTACAATTTGTTCAGTGTTTTCTCATGTGTGGGACACATGACCGTCTGCGGATGCCCGGTTTTAATACTCACTCGTACATGCCTCACCCACTCTGACGTAAAGCTTGTGTTGGAATGGTCTTGCTGTTTTCGTTTGCCAGGAAGCCGAGGCCGTGTTGCTCCGTCGGTTGGATGCCTTAGAGCGACTTGTCTTTGGCCGATCATGTTCGGCCGCTTCTTCGGGTACCGTCAGTCTGGGTCGAGAAGTGGAGCCTCTAGCAGCCAAGGTCAAGGCCATCTCTAAGAATGTAGCGCGAGCGGAAGGAGGTGATCGGAATCTCCTGGACATCGCAGCACAAGGTGATGGGAATTGCTGCTCCGGTAGGCTGTATGTATGGGAGAAGACAATGGGGCGTTTGGATCCCACTTGTGAAGCTTGTCAAAACCTGTTGTAACGGTGTACTAAAGGAATGCTGTTGCCGTTGTAGGAAAACGTCAGCTGGAGTCTCTGATCGGGAGATTGGGAGTAAGTGACGCTACCATTGTGTGAATTTGGTGGGGAAGACATGTTTTCCGGAACCAGAAACGCAGGCCATTGGAACAGCTCACTACGTACGTGCGATCCTGACAAGCGAATAAAAGCACCGGTAAGGCAGCGCGGTTTTCTGGCAGCGTGCGCGCCGAATCTTGTTTGCATCTGTCTATCAGCCTGCCTTCATCTCGCCCTCCTCCATCACCGGGGTTCTTTAGTTTTCGGGTTCCACTGTTCGTTTGCCTCCCACTCTTGCATGTTTCGTCCTCGTAGCACGAAGCTCACTATTTCCCTTCCGTCACCAAGGTACGTGCTGGACAACCGCGACTCGAAACCTACCCCGCTTGCCACTCAAGGTGCCCCTCTAACGGTCGTATTCCGCCTTTTCACGCCGCCCATCTTCTGTACCAGCTGCACGCCTGGGGCTACTTTCGCCGCTGCCATCTACGACAACTGCAGCGTCCACCCACACCGTGGCGCTCAAGGAAAACATCTTGTACGCGGCGAGAGAGGAGATCGAGACCACCGCGCGCTTGCTGTCGCAAGTCAAGACTTTGCAGGAACACGTCAACCCTCCGTACCTTAAAGGTGACGGATTTTGCACAAGTGTGGAAGTCAAGAGTAAAGGGTTGCAAGTGGGCTGCCCGCTCTTCGTCGGGTAGGTAGCATTCTACACGTGGAAGGTCCTAGCTAGACTTGGTTGGGGTCTCGACCACTATCCATTACACATCGAAGGCCAGCACTCATGCTTGACTCCCATCCCCTGGTTTGACCCATGCCTCACGCTTGCAACCAGATATGCCGCAGTTGACTGCACGCCTGAGCCGGTTGGAAGGCACCTATGTGCAACAGGCAACGGAGGTAGCCCGAATAAACGAGCGCGCCGAGAACGCTCTCCTCCACTACAGTGAGGTAACGCACGATTTCTTCGTACGGGGTTATGGCGAAACCGGAATGGCACCGCCTGGATGGTACCCCTCCCCCAAAACCTAAAGTAGTTTATTCCAAGACGCTGGAGGCGAACTCACATATTTTGAAAGCAAGTATGCATACAGCCGTACCAATACCAATATTTTTGCTCTTGTTTTCCTTCAAGGCTTGGGACAACACTCGCTTGATCAACCTGCCTGGTAAAACGAATCTCGCCTGCGAGGTGGTCTGACGATGTTCCATTTTTTTTTTTTGGTCCATCAGGCGGTGAATCTTGTGTCGGAGAAGTTCGTGCACTGGGATGATCAAGTCGCGGAACTGGAGCGGCAACACGCGTCTCGATCGTAGACCAATGTATCATATCCTCTGCACACTCAAAGATCGCTTGGGTAGCGTAATATTGTTAACTGTGAATTTAGTTGGTGTTGATGTAAGTGCGCGTGCGTGCGAGGGTACAGTTCCCCAATGCCGGTGTGCGTCTCACAGAATACGAAACAGCACGTTTGTGGGAGGGTCGCCGGAGATACAGGCGGTCAGATCTTCTCCTGTCGCTGAGGGCAGGGTATGAGGTCTGAGTGTGAGCTGAAATAACTTGTTGACAATGTACCTGGACAAAAACATTTTCCCGGAGATTTCGCAGCAACCAACAAACGAACCCCATGGCGTTTTTATTCCGAGACCTGGGATGTGCACGGAGCATGTGCAAGCGAGGGAAATGTTCCACCTCGGAGTATTCCACCTGTAGCTCTCGTGGCAGAAGGCGCTTCATTATCCCAGAATATTTTGGAAACATTATCGCGGCCCATGGCGTCAACGAGAAACTGCACATCACATACACCCACAACATGTGCATATTGAACTTGCCCACGGTTCCAGGTGATTCAATAATTTTTCTGCCTAAAACACAGCTGGATTGAATCCAATTCAATCCTATCCGGCTTCCTCCCCGTCAATATCACCCTGGTCTTCCTCCGCGCTCTCGGTGTCCATCGCGACGGCAACCTCGTCTTCCGCCCCGGAAGGGAGCGGCACCACACATATTTCGTTCCGAGCCTTCTTTTGGTGCTCCCACCGCCCGAGTCGATGCTCTTGCCCTACCGCTGCTACCAAGAACTTGCCAGTGGAAGACACAGCAAGCCCGTTGACAAACCCTTCCAGCGGCACAGATGCCACCTGCACAGGACGGTAGCCAAGACAGCGCACACCAGACACAAGACATGAGACTTTTGCACCCTGATGGCCGCGAACGAAGGCAGTTGGGCAAGAGACAGAAACGACACGCCCGACAACTCCCTCCCCACTTGCAAAAATGCAGTCGGGTCAAGGGCAGCAACAGAGTACACGGTCCTCTACGCAAGCAGGATCTTCAACAACAGAGATTTCCCTTTGCCGCTATTGAGCGTGGCAAAGCATCGTTGCAAACGTGCGGTGAATCCACCACGGGCATGCCAGTCTGAACTCACTTGCTCCAGAGATCTCGCCTCAACGTCCGCACGCCACAGTCGGACCGACCCGTCATTGGAGCCACTGACCACGAGGTCCGACTGCTTGAGGCAGCCGATTGCACTAATCCACCGCGGGATGCCCACCGCGCTGTACCCGTGCGCCGCCGGCACCAGCATCGCGGGTTTCTTCTTCATGGCGAACCAAAGCGCGAGACTCCCATCTTCACCCCCCGTCGTGAACCAGTCCTCGTTGAGCATCCTACAGGCATGACGATCGAGAGCGAAACTCATCATCGCGAACTTTACATTGCGGAAATCGCACCAGTCAGAACCGCACAATCAGCAGTCCAGATTGACAAGTCATACTACACGAAGCGATTGGCGGCAGGATAGAGGTGATGCGTCGACGTTCGGGAAGCTATATCTCACCTGACGCAGTCTATGCTACCTCCCCCAACAGGGCGAAACACGAGGTGGCTGTCCTCCAGCACTTTCCATAGTCGGACCTGTCATGCAAGACAAAAAAGGAAAAAATCAACGGAGTTGTCTGCAGTAAATCGTAACTACACGATATGAGCGCCTCCCTCCCTCAGCACAGCAGCGTGTCAGGCCGTTCTCGTTGTCAACTACAGCGCAACCTTCGACCACCGTGCCGGACACACTCGGCAAATGAGGAAGGGAAGGCGCTGCGCCCACCACGCTCACCGTGCGATCGCGCCCTCCAGTGACAAGCCGCTCTTTACGCCACGAATCAATGGCATTGATCTCTGACTGATGACCAAACATAGTCTCCACGTACCCCATCTCGTTGAGATCCCAATGCTGCACAAGGGAAGAGAGTTCGGGTGACGAGGTCTTAGATGTTTACCCAAATGAGAATAGACTGACTCTCGTTTGAGGTACATCCGCGGGGGAAACCGCACATGAGACAAGGGCAGCGGCAGCGAGACGTCCTCTGTCGAAAGCACGGTGAGCGCTTCTGTGTTAAACTGCTACAATGCAAACGGTACCGTACACATGACACTTGATTACGAAGTCGAGGGTTGTCAACATGTGATAATTAATTGGCTTCGTAGAAAAAAAAGGGCAGGCTGCCAAGCGCACAAACCTTGACGCATCGATCGTGAGACCCCGAAAAGAGCGCCAGGCTGTTGGCCCGGAACGCGAGAGAGGATACCGTGTCCTGGTGGCCACGGAACGTCTCCACCACGGTGTCGGTACGACAATCCCACACGTTGATGAGGCGATCTCGGCCTCCGGAAGCCAAGTACCGACCATCCCCGCTGACCGCAAGGGTAAGAACCTTGTGGCAACATGGTGGGCGTGGGAAGTACCGTGTGAGCTATCCTGCCACTCGAAAGCGGGCAGATGGTGCTTGAAGAACTGCAAAACATAGAGCACAGACCGCCAGAGATACACCCTCGGCTCAACGTCAACCGAGTGGAAATGGCTGGGTGGACCAGTTTCCGCTTCAAGACTGACCTCTTTGCTGTGCGCCTTGACTGAAGGCACCTTGCCCCCCGGAAGCTTACGCCAGTGGGGTAGCATGGTGACACGTTTGCCGGTTTCAACGTCCCACCGTATTATCGAGTTGTCCTTGCTGCCCGAGAAAGCCGTGGTGTCGTCCGGTGACAGCACCACGCATGTCGGGCTCAGCTTGTGCCCGCGCATATGCCGTACAGCCGTTGGTGATATCTGCTGACCTTGCAGACCTTTCGCCACCTGCAATGGGTCGAGGAAAAAGGCAAGTACTCAGTGCGAGATAATGGGCACGAAGTAGTCAGACGACATGAGCAACCTGTGTTAAAGCAGCGAGAGCCTACATCGCTGCTGCTGTGCTCACGGAGCTGGATCCGAACACACATAAAGTAGATGGAGCACATGTCAACTATCGATGGGAACAGAGGTTGGAGCGTTTGAATACACGACGATACTCTTCACAGAGCAGCCGCAGCTGCATTGAGGAGAGGCACACCCCCACACCGATCCCATGACAGCACCTCCTTAGTTCCCAGTGGGTCAATGCTACAAGGCACACACACCTCTCTGTAGAGCTGCCCGGTTGCTTCGAGACGAGCGTGTGCCAGTCTATCCCCAATGTAGTCCCCAGGGGCATCGTCGTCCTCCTCGTCAGTCCCCTCTTCTCGCTGGCAACAACAAAAAGCATGTGAAGGGTCAGCAAGGATCAGAATTTATACAAAGCCGGATCGCCATCTCCAGTGGAGGACTTGGCCGGTCAAGAGTCGGCGTAATCCTTGGTGTCGGTAACCATCTCATGTATAGTTCCTAGCGCTCAACTGAGGGTACAGTCTCTTTTGCTTCCCGCGTGCCCGCTCCGGCGGGCCGAGCAGCACACAGACGCAGGCGATTCCTTCCCGCCCGACCCGCCACTCTCTGGCGGGACGGGTGCTACGAGACTCGCAATAGTTGTTGCCATACATATGCTCTACTGGTAGATACCTTCAATGCCAACAACGCTACAATTCAGTACAGGCTGGTGCTCTCTGTCAAAACATGTGTTGCCTCTATTTTTATCCAAATAGCAGGGTTCGTGACGAGGGCTGTGAGATGTGACAACGTTCGATGGTATCAACGTTTGGTTCGGCACCGCGGATGGACCGACAACGCAATCACCAACACCCGCATTAACCCACGTTCTCTCGCTGCTCTGCGTCCAGCTTCATGAGTACATCCCTGGCCAAACGCAGCCGTTTCTCCTCCGCCGTCTCTCTAGCCTCCGCCTCCGCTTGTTCCTTGGCCTCCTCAACCTCTTTACGCTCCTTGCTCAACGCCGCTCCAGCACCGCCGCCCCCATCCCCGTCCTCGGAGTCTGAATCTCCGGCGTCTGGATCATCGTCACCCCAGGCGAGCGCGGATTGTGCCTGGCGGCGAGTGAATTTAGCATACGTAGCAAGGAAGGAATGCAAGCGTCACTTGCGGATGCTGGCACGTGAAATAAAAAACTGCATTCAATGAGATTGAACGGTTGCTGGATTGCCCTTGCAGCAGTACATTGGTACACAAAGACTACGCATCATGAAGAGAAGATGTGCAGGGCATCGCTGAAGCCGTCTCTCAAGTGCGGGGGGGCATCCCATGTTCACCAAACACAGGACGTGTCCACGGGTAAGAACTCCAGCATGAAGGCAATCGGTAGAACGTTCAGAGTGCAACGCAGGTACGGGGATGCCTGGCACCGAACTCTGTGCTCTACAGGCCATGCAACCAGCCGGCTGTACCGCTGATCACTTACCTGTTGTCTAGGACGTTTCGCGGTCCTTGGCTCTTGTCGTGAGCTTCTTCCCCGAGAAGACCCTGTGCGAGATGACATGCCTCTGCTTCCGGCAGCGCCAATTGATCGCTTGGGTGGCATCGTGGGTGTGTGGGACAGACGCTAGACGCTGCTTCTGGCTGCGGGTGGTTGAAATCTGGTGCGAAGTGCGAAGAACGCGGGTTTCAGTAGGTTCCCGAAGGATTCTTGGGGAGGGGAGGGTAGGAGACGGCCCCGCCATGCCGTTGCACTCACACGCGGCACTGGCTCCAGGCGACGAGCCTTACATCGGCAGCACCATGGTAGAGAAGGTCGCACCACCGTCCACCAAAGTGATCGGGCACGAGGTGAGCCTGTATCGAACAAGAAGACCTGGAGAAGCTCCGATAGCCGCGCCCTTTCTTTTATGCGGAAACATGTTCCTGCTGTGACATCACGTGCACGACAGGTACAGTAAAGGCAGTAAGGCAAGCAGCATGACCTCTGCCATGTTGAATTGAACAGAGACATGTTTCGTGCTCTCTGCCCCTGTCATCCCCAACAGGCAATAATGTATGCTGTCGGATCGGCAACGTTATGACAAACTTACCTGTTTGACTGTATGTCTTCCGAAAGTACTTGCATGGTGCGGTGCTGCTGTGCTGCTGTGAGCAGTTTGCAGTCACGAGAAGAGGGTCTGTTTCGACTCTCTCTCGGCGCAGCAGGAAGATATCCATATCCAGATTTCGCTGCCTTCCCTCTCACCCATGAAGCTTGCTGCTGCCATCTTACCCAGGCGAAGGAAAAATTCCTGGCGTGGGCAGATTCTGAGCAGGGCTTCCAAGTCTCGCCAGATGTGGACCTGTTTCACGCCTTCTCAGAGGTGGGTCCTATCCGTATCCACGATCCTGGGTCCTGACGTCCCCACACCTGCAGGACAGTAAAAAAACACTTAAAACAGGCACGTGCCAATTATGCGGGATTTGGCCACCGACGCTAACAGTCAGTTGGAGCGTGCGTGTCTTCTTGCGGCTGGTTTCGAACTGTTTTCGAACATGCCCACCGCTATTCTTTGGCCGCTTTCCAAACGTGCACGACACACGAGTACACTTCAGTGTTGTGAAGAGTCCTTAACTACTGGTACCAGGTACTACTATTGTACCTCCGTCGGACCCTTCAGCGAGTTGAACTCCTTGAGCACCAGGTAGCGGGATGTGCTGTACGTTAGGATAGTAAGCCGAGCCCAACCCCGCGCTCCTCGCTCCCAGGGCTATCGAGGGGTAGTGGCAACCAAGGACATCCCGCGCGACGCCGTGCTGGTACGCATTGCACGCAGCTGTTGCCTTGGACCAGAGACCACGGATGAATCTAAAAATTCTTGGACGAAGGCGATGTCGACCTCTGCGGTGGATGCCACAAAAACTACTCAAGGGTGAGAGTTCGTCCAGTCAACATCAAAGCCGCCTGCCGCTGAGCCACAAGGGTATTTCAATGTGTGTGACACGTTGACAATATCCATCCCCGTTGTAGTCGAAGTTGCGTTTTGCCCGACAACTTAGGTTCCTCGATCTGGGAAGACCGCAGTGGCGTTCCACCTTATGCAAAACTCGTCACACGTCGTTCCGGCCCCTGGTTTGTTGCATTTCCAACCCTTTCCGCGGACTACTGCCTGCAGGGAATCTTCCAAGCCTCCTGCGCCGCGCTTGACCCGGGCTTGCTTGACGGTGCTCCGGCTGCTGCACGAGCGAGGGCTGGGGGAATCTTCGCCATTTCACTCCTACCTGAGCGTTCTGCCGCAAGACCATCGCTTACCGCTCGAGTGGACGGAGGCAGAGGTTGGTCTGCTACAGGTGCGCCGCTTCACGTGTTGCTGATTTTTCCTTTTTATCCACGTTTGTTTGTCGGCAAGTAGGGATCGCCTGGGCTCTGGCTTGGACGCATCTGATAGCTACTTCCAGTTACATCTCACGTTGAGCGTTTGATAAAAGACAGAATACTGTGTCGTACTTACACTCTTACGCCCCCTTCCCCCCTCAAACTCTGCTCTGTCCTCGCAGAAATTGGTTTCGCAGCTTTGTTGACATCCACCTTTACGAGTTGCGTTTGCGCGTTAACGCTCTGACGCGGCAGCATTTTTCGAGATGTTCGGCAAGCGCCATGCGCAGAAGCTAGTCATAGCTGCAAGGTTTAGAGCGAAACCAATACTTGTACGGACTGACTGGTGTACGGTGCGTTCACCTCTCTGAATAATGCCATGGTGCTGGGCAGGGCACATCGGCGGAGCCACTGGTGGGGGCCGGAAGCCTTGACAGTCAATTCGAGGCCTTCCAAAGTGTGGTCGCACAACATCCAACAGTGTGGGAGCCCAGCGTGTGCACCAAGGCCGCTTTCGCCAAAGGGGTGAATTGGGTGAGGCGGTAGCAGGTCAGGTACCGATACTCGATATATTCGCTCACATCGAACAGCAAAAGCGCACGCTGGCAACATTTCGGGGCGCAACACCGCAAGCCTCTTGTTCCCCTTCATCAACTCTCCTCAGCAACAAGGTTGGTTAAGAAATGGAGGCGTCTACCTAGTATTGGCTGCAACGAGGTCGCCCGAACTTGAAAATTCCCCCTATTCTTGTTGCCCCCGTTGCCTTCCAGCTAAATGGTATCTCATGACTGCTGTGTCGCAGGTGCGCTCCAGAGGTTTCACAGTGATGGGTGATCCTCACATGATACCCGGAGCCGACATGTTCAACCATGACCCTAACAAGCAATCTGTGCAGATCGGCACAGATGGGGAGGAGCATTTCGTCATGAAAACTGTGAGTGCCCCGGGACAGGGAGGGCTCGCGGCAGACGGAGGTCATTTGCGGTGTCTGCACCTCTGAGGCGGCGCTACTTGCACACTTCGCAACCTTCACCGCTTCTCAGGGATCTGCGTTGTTGGTGCTAAACTGCTGTCTCCTTTCAAAGACGCGAAGCAAACGATCCCGCCCTCCTGTATTGCACTCGTCGGTTGTCGTCCGCCCTTCTGCCCAGGTGCAGCCGGTAAAGGCTGGAGAGGAGGTGTTCAGCAGCTTTGGTCACATTTCGAATGCCCAGCTCCTCAACTCGTATGGGTTCGTTCTACCCGGGTAAGGTTGGGAGTGAGATACACGATATTTTGTCATGGCCCAGCAGAGTTTGTGTGTCGTCAGAGCACGGTACAAGAATTATGTACTTTATTCTAAGAACCCTCCCTCCTCCTGTACAGCAGGAGCACGCAAACGACTCTCTGAGATGCCCAAACGCCTTGTTCGGAACCGCGTCGCCTTTCCGCCTAGCAACGTACCCGTTGTTGCCGTTGCGCTGGCAGGAACTCGTTTGATACTGTGCTCATCCCGACCCAGCTTGTCGTGAATACGTGCTACGCCACCTTCGTGAAGCTTGAGGCTGATAAGCTCGGCGAGGCAGAGACCAAAAAGACGTGGGAGCAGCGACTGGCGATGGTTGCCAGCAACAGGGACGCTGATGAGGGGGAGCAAGAGGCCTTCGTGGTTTCGAAGTACGATCTGCTGCCTGAGAGTCTTGCGGATATGGTCCAGGCGAGCTTGGGTCAATCTAGCCTCATGAAAATGAAGTCGTATTCAAGCATCTTCACTCTTTTCACTATGAAAAGCTCGTCGTACTCCGTGTTAAGCCCATGTGTTTTTTCGGAGCGGGGCCAATCCTACCCTTGTAAGAACCAGAAGCTCACGCAGGTCTGAAACGTCGCTGTTTCGACCAACGCGGAGATTTGTACCCCTTACACCACACACCACATCGTACATCGTTCCGACCTCAAAGGAGGGACATAGAAGTACATTCACGAGAGTCGTTGGTGCCCCAAAGTACCGCGTGGATTGTGCCTGGTCTTACCCCGTAATAGTTCTCACTATTCTGCCCTCGTGCATTCACAGCAGTCGGGTTGGCGCGGCAGCTCGCGCACCACTGCATGGAGCACTGCTGTGATGTCTCAAAAAGGACCCATACTATCGACGTTTTCTTGATGTTTTCGTGCTCATGATCGCAACCGTGATGTTGTCCTAACGATGCCTCTGTGTCTTTTCCGCCCTTTTCAGATCCTCACCATGAGCAATGATGAGGAAGTCGCCTACGCGACTATTGCCGCAGTCAGCCAGGCGAAAATGGGACAATACAGCCCTCTGCTACAGGACGCTAAAAGAAACGCGGGCGAAGGGGCTATTGGAGCGGACGCAAGAACGCTCGCGAGGATGCTTGTAAACGAGGAAAAAAAGGTCCTCCAAGATCTGAGACTTCAGCTCATGAGCGTGGTAAGCTGCAGATCTATTTCCCTGGCGAAGCTCCGTCCACCCCAATGACAGCAGGAGTAGTCCTGTTACAGCTGTCCCATTCTACATGCCTCAATTTGCGTTCAGAAGATGTACTCGCTCCTGCAAAACACAAACAACAAGACGACCTGGTCGATGCGTATCATATGACATCACTGTCCCCTCCGTTATTTCTCGTTTTCATCGACTCTCGTTCGTTCATGCTGATCTGTGGCACGGCCCAAGACTAAACCCGCCGCTGCATCTCGTTTCACTCGCTTCAAGTTACTGCTGCTGTATCGGCCTTTCGGTAGCTGAACGTGGCGTTGTTGTGCTCATCTCATGTTGCAAGATCAAATCCCGGGGAAGGGCCTGAGGGACGTCTGCAACAGGCAGATCGCAAATATGTCGTTTTACCCGCTTTGTCGGGATTTCTACTTGGTGTTGGGGTGCTAAACCTACCCTCTCTGTTCGTCCCGGCTTATTCACGGTTCAGATACTGGACGACAACGAGGATGAGGACAAGGACGAGGATGAGGGAAATAACGACAGTAGTGGAAGAGGCGGTAGTGCAAGTGGAACCAGCCCGGACGCAAGTGAAGAAAAGGGCACAAAGAAGAGGCGCAAGGGGTAACGTAGAACGCCAAACTAATAGGATAGCTTGATGATCTGTGTATCCCCTTGTTCCCTTTCGGGTGCCCATAGATGGAAAGTAGACGTGAGAAGCTTGCAACTTTCGCAGGCTGACACAGCAGCAGGAGAGCAGCGCGAGGTAAGAGTAAACCAATTCGCGATGGGAAGCAAAGAGCCTTCCTCGCTCGTGTTACAAAAAATTAATTGAGCTGTGATCTTAATTTAGATTCGGTGCACGTTGTACAAGGAAAGAAAAATAGGCTGCTCCGACCCTCGTACGCCCCCACGCAAGTACACCTCTATATGTTTTGAACTGCGGACAAAGGCAGCAACTGTCCGCACAAGTGTCTACCAAGCAATAAGACTTGTATGAATACCGCTAAATATATTTACGAACTTCTCCCGCCCACGCGCGGGGGAAAACCTATAACCAACTACCTGGAGTACAAGTCACAGCGAATCGAGCCAAGGCACTCCATCATCGTCTCCAACATCGCAACAACAACCTCTATAACACGCAAAACAGGAGGAATCAGAACCAAGTCGAGAAGAACTAGAGAATACACGGGAAAAGTAAAACCCGACGCCCTCTTTACACAGGAAAAAACAGACGCCACTATCCACACGGCTTATTTGTACAGGTGAAAGTGTGTCCCCCCGAGAATCTTGCACTGAAACAACTCTTCGTCTCTGCGAGATACGCCTGTAACCAACACAAAAAAAATCAATCGCTTGGCTCGCTCCATCAACGTTTAGTTCTAGGCATCCAATTATACACCACACCTGCGGACAGACGAAAGCAAAGGACCGCTTTGGTGGGACGAGGGTAAATCCCTCTCTAAACAGGAACAAGTCGTCTTTTAGCCTAACACACAGATCATTTACTAACGCATTCCAAGAAGACACGCGGGGAGAGAAAGAAGAGCCCACTTCGCCAACACTCACATGTCACCTCACGCAAGAACAGTAAAGCAGAGCAATCAAGTCGCCTTCTCTCGGGAAACCAATCTACCGCCGCAACACACAAACCCTATCTCCCGAGAACTCGACACCGCTCACGACGTTTTCAGACAAATCCAAGTCTGTCACGAAAGCTGAGTACACCGGTATCCTCTCCCCCAAAAACACGCGTGCAACCTTTTTCTTTCCACACGACCCCCTCCGTAAGCCTGTCACGTCAAAACCCCTCTGGGGCAAAAGTTGTCCGCCACGGCGTAAGAGAAAAAACGCTCCCGTGGTCTCGCAGTCAGCCCTGTAGAAGCTGCTGCCGGGGCAACACATATCGCTCAAGAACCTGGCGCGACGTCCAAAACTCGGGAGGTAGGACGGCGCCGCTGTCCCGACTCGATGCCGCCTCTTCCTCGCTGCTCAACGTCGAAGCGCCGCTTCCGTCCGCCGACTTCCTCTCGTTCGCCGCGTCCTCCTCTGACAAGTCCGACCCGCCACGGCTCTCCGAGGTCGTGCTGCCTTGGTCCGACCAACCCCGCGGCTGCGCCTGCATCTGCTTCGCGCTCTCGGTGCTCGTGTTCCCATCCTTTCGTCGCTGCTGTTGCTGTTGCGGCGCCACGCGGACGCGCTTCACGGACCTCGTCTGCGCGGCCTCCATGAACGCGCACAGCGCCGAGGCGTCCTCGAGCGCCTGCCCGGGGTTCGATGCCGCCGCCACAGGGTCAGCACCTGCGGCCGTTGCGGGCGCCACCGCCGGCTGCTTCGATGCCTGCTCCGACAAGACCGACATTGCCATCGACCCCGCCAAGGGCGGCGACGGGGGCCGCGGCGGGACCTTGGTGGTGGCCGCGCTGCTTAGTCGCCGTCGGCTATGGGTCGAGAAAAACGAGGAGCAAGAAGACGAGGACGCCGAGGAAGAAGACGACGTCTGGCGACTCTGTCGGAATGCACCCGCAGAAGGCATTCTGGGCGTGGCCGGGGGCGAGACCGGCGTGGCCGTAGCGGTCGCGCTGCTGCTGCTGCTGCTGCTGGCAACCCCTGAACCTGGTGCCTTGGAGGTGCTGTGACTTTTGCCCTCCGCGAAGTCCCAGAGCGCCGCCAGGTACTCCGGGAGGGGCTCTTCGGGGATCGTCTCTCGCACCTCCTCTGCCCAGTTATCCTCCGGCAGCTGGATCCCGGACGCTCGGATTTCGTGCTCGAGTTGGGCATTTTCCACTTTCTGCAGGGTTCGGGGGGGCACGTATAGAGAAGAGCGGGCGGGAGGCAAAAACATCAGAGCAGGGCAACGGGTTGGAGACTCAATTAAACGTGTAGCAACTTGGAGTTCGTAAATCTCCACCTGGTTCAGGAATGTCCAAGGATCGTTCACTCAGAAAGAAAAACAACACGCGCAATGAACACTGCAAACACCTCGAAATATTTTCAAGGAACAAACACATCGTGTTCATGCATGACTACGCACCCAGTCATGCGTAAGCACCTATTGAAAATCCTTCAAACCGGAAAGGTCCACTTTCGACGCTGGCCGTATCCGAAACAACGAGCAACTACAGAGGAAAACTGTTGAACGACCAGAGTTCTCCAACACTTGCTGTGACATGAAACCCTCCACACAATCATCCGCTCGCAAAACCGCATCTCCCACAAGGACACATCGCAGCATTATTGACAAACGCCGCGTCAGTGAATTCCCCGCTGTTGAACTGCTGTTCTTTTCTCATGGTGTATGAATTACTCCAAAAAGCACTATGAAGCCTTGGTATATAGGTGTCATCAACTCAGGGAGAAGTGGTCAGCGGGAGCAAAAAATGAAGATTGAAAAAAATACATCAACTTCGTGCTTGTGGTACATGACGAATGGAGCTGAACAACCACCCACAATCCGTACCTCACGAGGTATTATAGTATACGGGTAAATATTGTGATAAGAAATAGTCAGCCGAGACTAACTTGGCAGCTACGTGCGCGATCGCGAGGCTATGCAAGAAGGAAAAAGTGGGGTACGCACTGCCCCATAGGGCTTTTTTTGTTCTTGATGTAACACCGCGAATCCCTAAGGCATTTTCCGTAGGGAACAGCAGTGGGGGGCAGAACATTATCAAGCGGATGGATGGCCATGCCCATATTTCCCCCTTTGTCTCGGCGATAGATGCTATAAAGAACGACATGATTACGGCAGGCCAATGCCCACGGGTGAAATGCACGGAAATGTAATTTAGATACTGTACGCGAAACTTTGAATCTCTGCTTGGCAACAATGTGCTGCACGCTTGAGTCATTTTATATATGCTTGCATACCCCTACAAAAAGGAGGGAAAACGTTCAGGCCACACCGCCAACACAACGCAACAACGACGGTGGTCCACAAAAGTAACGCAAGTCTTCCGAATACTACTGGTCTGCCCGCTGCTGTAAACGCGTGTCCACTGATGGACATCAACTCACGCAGATGCAGCACACAGAGACCAGACAAGACTGAAATCCACACGAGTGCTAGCTCGCAAGCTTGATGCGGGGAGAGGGCGGAAGCACAGACCTCCAATAAATGGTGACGAACAACCGGTGACAGAAAACACCCCGCGAAAGAGTATGGATAGAGCAGGAAATTCAGTCCTGGTACGTCATACAACCTCTCTGACTAATTGATGTTGCACTGCTCAAAAGAGGGGCAATTCCGAGTCGGTAACAACCAAGGTTGAGAGAAGAAAGAATTGTGGACGACCAAACACAACGCAAGTTCGGCAATGAAACAATGGAGGCGTTGAACGATTTCGATTTGCTCTGGGCTATGCATAGGTAGTCTGTAGGCGGGCAGTTCGGTGCATTCAGATAGAGCTGGTTCACAGAACACCCAAGGTCGGCATTTTTTCCTGTCCATTTTATGCATATGCATGCATCCATTTTATGCATATGCACATCGTACAACAAGTCCGGCGTGAGAGAAGTGGAGAGTACATCAACTGGAAAGCTCTCTTTATGGGGAGGACACTCCCAAGGACGGGAAAGGTCGAGTGGCGGGACAGCTGCTGCAGCCGTCGTTGTTCGAAAGAAACACGTGTCTTCCCAACCGACTTCACAACCGTGTAGTTTGGACCCAAGGACGCCGGACATATTATTTTTCAAAAAAATCCAAAACAAGACGTGCTCTGGTTCACTCACCATCTTGTCGATCATGACGCTGCAGGCCTCTACGAACAGCTTCTTGCGGTTACGCGTGCGCTTAGCGTGCATGCGGTTCCGCTCCCTCCGCAGCGCGGTCCTGTCGGACAGCGTCCCCTTCGCTCCGCGCGAGCCGCCGCCGCCCTTGCCTCCGGCGTGCGTTGCAGCCTCCTCGTCGTCGCCGGCCTGCTGGCTCCCGTCCATCCTCTCAAACTCTTGTGTAATCTTGCGCAGGGCGTCCTCGTGCGAGGCGACCTCCTCGCCCCAATCCCTGCCGCTGCCCTTGCTGCTCCTACTTGCCGCGGGAGTCGCGGCTGCCTTGGGGAGTTTCAACGCCGGGGACGAGCGGGATGATGGATGTTGGCTTCCAGCTGGCCCTTCCTGACACTGCTTGGGGGAGCAGCTGAGGGCGAGGAGCACCCCTGCGGTACGGTGGTCGGTGGACAGCTGGAGGAGGCGCTGGCGTTCCTGGCGAAGCCCCCAGATCTTGAGCTGCAGTTCCTGCACGTGCTGCTTCTTCCGCTGGCGCGTCTTGCGCGCGTGGAGGCGATTCCGCTCGCGGTTGCGAGCCTTTCTGTCGGCTGCAACAGCTTTTCTGTCATCTGGTGTCATCTTCCTCTTCCCGGCCCTGTCGTCCTCCTCCTCGTCCTCGCTGCCACCCTCCTCGTAAGAAGCGGTGTCGCCGCCACCATCGCGTGACCAGCTACATCTGTCCTCCTCCTCCTCCTCTGACTCGACGCCTGCCGCGGCCAGGTCTGCCGCCGCCGAGTTGGCTGCAACGGCAGCAAGGCCAAGGAGCTTGCCAGCGATCATCTCTTCCATATGTGCCGCTGCCTCTCTTAGATCTGTATATTTCCTCTTTCCTGCTGTTGTTTCTCGAATGGATTGGGGTGGTCTTTCGCGTTCAGGCTGACACGCCCGAGGACGGCGAGGAGTCAGAGCGGTAGCCAGGGGAGGGGAGGGCGAAGCGGGGTCAAGTTGTATGCTCGGCTTCGGTGGACATGGGGGGGAGGGGGAGGGGCAGCCGCGAAGCCCATTTTTTGAGTCACCGGTGGTGTGCGTTCGATGACAACAGCTTGCTCCATACACGTGTAAACAGAGCAAAGTAAAGGAACACGCGGCGCCCATGGAACGCAAGGGCACATCAAACAGAACACCAACAAGACCCACCCTCGCGCTCCCGTGCGGGGCGGCAAAGACACCGTCTCAAGCGCAATTGACGAGGTGGCGAACAACATGCGACAGCAAATAACGTGCCGCCCATGCCTTCTCGGCAATGGCACACGCGCAAAATATCTGCTGTGCTGACTCTCTTTTTTTCCCTACACCACTGAAACCATTCATCGCAAGGCAGAGGAGCTTCCCTCGCAAGCTTACCTCTCTCGCCCTTGTGGCGGCAGGTCGAGGAGGCCTCTGAAGGTATGACCCTACCCGTGCGTGGGTGTTGTTTTGGTCGTAGGATGTTGATCGTGGAGGGTGGTTTGTGGATGAGTACGAAAAATGCTGCCCAAGAGAGAGAGGCAGCAAAAAACGATCGGGGCAGATGGTGATCGTTCCTGAGCGGTCTGTTCAGCCCCAACAGCCTCTGACGTGTGATAAGCGCAGATGCCCTGATTGGATACGAGAGTCTCAGCCGATCAAGATGATGCAAACTTCAAGTTGAGAGGTACGAGAAGGGGGAGCGACCAAGAGGGCAGAGGGCAGAGACAGAAAGAACGCGGGCCTTGTGTGCTGTGTGCGAGAGGCAAGCAGAATGTGTGCAGATCATTGCGTGTTCAAAGGGAGAGTGGAGCTTGTAGGGGCGATGGTTCAAGGTGATAATACACTGCATGTCTCATTTTTACCATATGGTACGGTTTCGCATTCGAAGTTGGACGGATTGTTTTCTCTTCGTGGACTTGTGAAACTTGCTGTGTAACCGACGTAAAGATTTCTACTTGGGATGTACAGACAGATGTTTGGCCTTTGTGTGCCCAGTGCCCAGTATTTGCTCGATGTCCATTGAACATTGGTCAAGAACCAGATGCCACCCTTGTGGTTGTTGACACAGAAGAGCACGCTGTTCCAATCTTCTTTCTCCGCGCTGATCATCTTGAATTATTTTGGTACTTCTGCAAGTCCTGCTGCAATACTTCGAAGGTAGCTGCTACACAAGGATGCCACCCTTTACTTGACACAGGATCTTTCTACGCGCTGATCGAAGATGATGTGTTTAGCCCTTTCTCTCTCCATTTCTTTCTCTCGCCCGAAACTACATATCATAGTCTAGGTTACACCTTTCACTGAGAGACTCACCCGTTTTCACCACACACAGCAACAGCAGTAGTAGTGCGTTGGTGTACGGGGGATGTTGACTCCTTGCAATGAAACTCTCGGGGAGAAAAACCTACCATACATACCTCGGGGAGAAAAACCTACCATACTGCATCGGCTTTTTTAGCAAGTCTGTTTACTACGATTAGGCTAGACCACACACAATTTTTCAGTTGACAGCAGCAGCGTTATATATAGACTACCAGCTGGTGCTCGTCACAAAAACAACAAGCAAGCTACAACAACTAGCGGTAGGCGCCCGCTAGCTGCCGGCTCGATGTTTATATGCATAGTAGCTGCCTCAAACGGAGCACCTACTGCTGCTGTGTGTTGTACCTTCTCTTTTCAAAGTTCTTATTTCGAGCAGGCATCCGCCTATGATAAACGAGGTCCTTCTTGTTTCTACGCCGAGAGCTTCACAGCAGTTTTGCAGATGAGGACACAACAGCAGCAGTAGTCTTGTTCTTCTGGGAGCATTCAACCTGACACTTGAGAGGAGACAATATAATAGCAGAAGGCGTCGGCCAACAGGACCTACCCCTTAATACAGAAGTACCGCAGCTTCCGCGATCACCAAGGGGTATGTAGAAATACAGACACGGCATTATGCGCAACATTGAACCACGTACATGTAGATGTAAATGTCCGCGAGGGTCACGTTTGGCGTTATTGTCCTCCCCGCTCCACGCCCGTCGTGTAGTTTTACACTCCAGCTGTTGTTGGCGGAACCTCCACCCTTTCGGCAATGAATGGTATTACTGTAACAGGATCTCCTCCCTGCCTAACGGTGCTTCCCTCAAACAAAGCCCACGAGACGACGCGCCTCGTGCGTCAGCAGCTTGCTATAAGATGAAAACGCGAGGCTGCCTATGGTACCCCGGATTTGGCCCATCAATATGGTCCCCTCTTCTTGCGAGAAGACGCAAGTTTGAATTGCAGGCCACACGTCAACTCGATGGCCTCCCAGTGTGCCTTCGTGAGGCGGTTTCCGCCAGCAATAACGTTCTTTCATGGCCTCGAAATGTCGATCAAGAAAGAAACCTCTTCGTTTCAACCTCGACAGATGGCCGAACTCCTGCAACGTCTCAAGGCATACAGACATCAAAGACATGGTTCCCGTGTATGCACACCACACACCATGCACACAGCGTGGCTGAGCCAAACCCAGTGTCACGGGACGAGGGGTAGACTATGCCGTGTACAAGCTCGCATCTGCCCCCCCAGAAATGTTTCAGGAGGTGCCCCCCCCCCCTTCCCACGCATGAGATTTTGAATTTTTCGAGGCTGAACTATTACCAAGTTCTGAAGTGCGGTCGCCTACTGTATGTACTGCTGCATTGAACAGTATCACTCGTTCGTCGAGTTATTTTCCTAGGGGAAACCTCAGTTGTTCGTGGTGCTGTACCGTAAATTTTCCACCTTTAGCCCCGATCGAAAAAGTCGGGAGTTAGTGTGTTGCGTGCGATCGGAAACGTCAACAAGTGAGAGATCGACGAAAATTTTCTCTCCTTTCTCTTTCCCACCACCACTGAACCACACCGCCTGAGTCGTTCAAGCTTCCCACAATAAAGGGGTGAGTGTTTTCTCACACCACTACATGGTGTAGTGTGATACAGCAGCGATCTTTTGGACTGCGGGTACGATGTGGTGCGTGTGAATATCGTGAGAAATATCCGACCCTGGCTGGCTGCCGCAACCCCCGGCCGCCGGTAGGTGGTGGTTCCCTCTAGTGATCATCATCTCGGTAGACCCACTACGTACGCGAGACACACCAATGAAAAGGGGGTTCGACGTCTTTGGATGCAGCACGACCTCAAACGGCGGCCACTCGCTGGATTGTATGACAAGACACAGCCCACATGGTGCAGTATATTATTAGTCGTGTTGGTCAACAAGCTCATTCAAAAGAACTGTAGCATGTGCACACCTCCAATGTAGCATCGTGTCAATGTCGGCGTGTAGACTCAACCCTCCATAATCTGTCCGCACAGGGAGGAGGGGGGGGGGGGGTTGCGCTCATGTTTTTCATGCCTTAGCGGTTAGAGGTTAGACCATTGACCACGCATCCTCGAGAGGACGCAGCACTGTTCCCACAGGACCGACCACCGATCGTCAATCATTCCTTCCTACTTTGCCAAAGGTGACTCAAAAAGTTTTCCTAGCCTATCTATCCTATCGATATCGCTTCCTTCCTTTTCAAACCACTTCCTATGCCCCAGTCGGCCACCGTCCTCTCCTGGCTATTCCATGCCTCAAACATCTCCCTGTACCTTCCTTCTACTTTCACCAGCTCAGTCGTGTACATTTCTCTCTCCTTCTTGTACAACGGACATTCCGCAACTACATGAACCCGATCTTCGCAATCGGAGTCGCATTCGCATTTGAACTTGTCGTCGTCATCGTCTACATTGCTGACTCTTCGTGTACGTTCTCAAAGGCCAATGTCCCCAGTCCTAGATTGACCTTCAGCTTTGCCCATGCATCCATTGGTCCATGTAAGGTACCTGAACCCGTTTCCTTCTTTCAACATTCCGTACACATCTAGACCCTCCTTATCCTTGGTGTCTTTGGTTAGATTCTGTTATTCTATCGCAGCAAAAGCATCAGATGTGGCCGAGATATGGTGACGGAAGATTCGAGGTCTGAACCGAGGCGCGATGCGAAGATTTTGACGGGCTTGCTGCGGACGTGACGTACGGACGAAATGCCATTGCAGGTAGAGTATGGTCGAAAGCAAAATCGACGGACAAGGAGTGGAGTTGATCAACGACTGCCATGTCGGCACTCAGGGGTTACTGCTTTGATATGACTTGTATCGGGTATTTGGCTTTGGTTTGTTTTTTGGGATGCATTATTAACCGGATCGCGTTTTTCCTGCGAAGTCGGTGCCTGAGTATTTTCGGGAGGAGGTGATTCTAGTCGCGTTCTACCTGCGAGCTGGACACTTTGCACTTTTCTCGAGCGGGGTGGACGCTATATGTTCGCTTTCTAGTTGCGGGGCGGCTGTTGTTGTTTGGCATTTGTCTTAGGCGGGGGGGGGGGCGTATTGCGTCTATTTTTTCTTAGTCTTATTTTCTGTTTTCTGGCAGTCCGTTATGGTCGTTGTTTTTGGCTGTTAGCTACCAATGTATCTGTGGGCTGGAAGTATTCGTCATGAAAAACATTCTAGGACGCTGTGCAGAATCACTGCTGGTTGCATTGCTATCGACAATCATTGGGGGGAATGTCTTACCATGATTCCCGCTGCAGTACAACAAGCAGTGTGTTGGCGATACATGGGTTGATATTTGCTGTTTGGATTTTGGCTTCTTCTTGTACCTCAAGTATATTGCCTTGAAGGTCTTGATTTGCTCTTTCATTTTGGAGGAAGGATGTCCCGGCAGGGGGACAATTGATGATCGTTATCCGCAGTAAGTCGTAGGTTTTCCTTGATATTTTTCCGTACACATTGGGGTTATACCTCATCTTGACTGTACTGCATTTATTTCTACGCTTATGGAGAAGGATTTTGGTTCATCTTTGACATACCTTCTTGAGGATACTGTATGCTGAAGGAAAACGAGTTTGGCATTGTAAGGTTCAGGGGAGGTCACAGAACTACGGTATTGTGAGGTTTGAGTGGATGG